GTTTGGTTCAATTCCATCCTTAGTAGAGTTCAGAATGCTCTTTGATGGTAGGTGAACTATAAATCCCAGCAACTACAAATCCCCAACCCCATCAGTACTCAGATATGGGCATATCGGATATTTGTGCCAAATTTGATCCAGTAAATGAAAATACATCCTTCATATCAGATATTGACATTATGATTCGTAACAAGTAGCAAAATTACTGTTTTGAAGTAGCAATGAAAATAATGTTATGGTTGAGGGTCACCACAACATGAGGAACCATATTAAGGGGTCGCAGCATTAGGAAGGTTAAGAAACACTGACATAGAGCTATCTATGGCTGTTATAAGTGGTGCCAAATTGCATTCGTTCCACATTGTAGATGCACCCGGAGTGCAGCCATAGCTCCATGCTATGGAATTCAATCAAAGGCATCCGGTGGGGGAGCATCTACAATGCAGAATGAATGCAATTTGCAACTGCTTTTGCTCAATACTATGAATTCCTGGGAGTTATGGTTTTGCAAGATCCTCAGGATTCAATGCAGTGGGATGCAACCTGAACTGCCATGCCTTCATGCTATGAAATCATGGAAAGTACAGTTTCCCAAGCCTTATTTGGACACATCTACACTGTAAAATGTATGCAATGGGATGCAACCTGAATAGCAATGGCTCAATGCTATGAAATCATGGGAATTACAGTTCCCCAAGGTCTTCAACTGTATTTGGATGCATCTGCACTGTAAAATGTATGCAATGGAATGCAATTTGGCCATGACTCAATGCTATGAAATCATGGGAATTATAGTTTCCCAAGGTTTTCAGCCTTATTTGGATACATCTGCATTGTAAAATGAATGCAGTGGGTGCAACTTGAATTGCCACAGAAATCAGGGAAATTATAGTTTCCCAAGGTCTTGGGCCTTATTTGGATGCATCTGAATTGCAAAATGAATGCAGTGGGTTGCAATTTGAATTGCCATGCCACAATGCTATGGAATCAGGTCGCAGGTTCGAATYCGGGTAGAGGCGGATGAGCTCCCTCTATCAGCTCCAGCTCCTCATGCGGGGACATGAGAGAAGCCTCCCACAAAGATGATAAAACGTCAAAATCATCCGGGCATCCCCTGGGCAGCGTCCTTGCAGACGGCCAATTCTCTCACAACAGAAGCGACTTGCAGTTTCTCAGGTCGCTCCTGACATGACAAAAAAAAGGGGGGGGGGAATTATAGCTTCCCAAGGCCTTCAACCTTATTTGGATGCATCTGCACTGTAAAATGTATGCAATGGGATGCAATTTGGCCATGGCTCAATGCTATGAATTCATGGGAATCATAGTTTCCCAGGCCTTCAGTGTTTTTTGGGTGCATGTGCACTGTAAAATGAATGCAGTGGGATACAACTTTAACTACTGTCGCTCAATGCTATGAAATAATGGGAATTATAGTTTCCCAAGGTCTTCGGCCTTTGGGGAGTGTGTGTGTGCATCTACACTTTAAATGAAATGCTGTTTAAACCCACTTTAACTGTTACAGCTATATATTATCTCTACCAAATAGTGCAGGTTGGTCCAAACTATAACTCCCAGGATTCCATAGCATGCAGCCATGCCAGTTAATAAATGCACCTATACTGTAGAATGAAAGTAAGTTGGTAATGTTTTCATTGCCATGTCTTCCATGCTATGGTATCCTGGGAGTTGTAGTTCTACTAGTGTTAGAGACCCTAAATTTGGTCTTCTTAGGTCCACACCACGGGAGCACGTAAGGAAGGAGACAGTCCCAAAAAAGATCAAAAAACAAGGTTATTTTAGTTTCTTCATGAAGAAGACGGGCAGTCTGGCAGCATACACAGATGCTACCCTTCAAGTGACTGCTGTGTCCCCTTGGCTTTTGACCACCGATATATAACCTCAAGTAAATAAGAACATTTTTTTGTCATGGAAAGTACTCTCTTTCCAGCCCCTCTCCCTTGACCTTTTGATGACCTTCTTGTACCTGCAGACTCTGCGCTTAACCACAACCTTTGAACTTAACCACAACACAACTTCCGACCTCTACATGTCACATCTTGTTTCTTAAAAACATTTTCTTCCCTGTTGCTCTTTTTCTACAGAGAAAGGGTATGTTTCTCTTTTGGTGTTAATTTCATTGAAAGCCCCTTGCTTAGCACTTGCAAATTTCACTCAAAGACCCTTTCACTAGGGCTTTTAGCCTACTTTGCCAGAGTGCCAATGCCTCTCCAAGCTGCAACTCCCAGGATCCCATAGCATGGAACCATGGCAGTTAAAGTGGTGCCAAACCACATTGAGTTGACAGTTGTAGACACATATAAATAGTTTCTGACGTGGAGACGTATTTGCCAAATAAATTAAGATACAGAGATATCAGTAGAATAGTCAGAAGTCGGTGCAAATGTTCCTTTCCCCCCTCTGTTTCTATCTTCTTTTCCTTCCTTTTGATTGGATGTTTCCTCTGCTTTGAATATGTTTGCAGTTTCCTAATAGAAAAATATATAGTTTTTTTTACATTAAAAATATCCCAAAATGTCATTTTCTCGAACCTGGTCTGTAACACAGAGATAAGGGAAACATGTGTCACTCCAAGGCGAGTTCTGGACAGTCCAAGAAGCAAGGAAGTTACTAGGATGCCTTCGCTCAGCAAGGCAAGGGAGATAAACATTTGCAGCCGAATTATTTGGGGGGAAATTAATCATGCTTGCTTGGTCTTCAATCACGTATAAAGCGTGTGTGCACCCAATAGATTGGCGTGACTTGCTCTTGGGCTTTTGTAGCCTGGCCCTTTTGAGCAAAATTACTGAGCTTCGGGGACACAAAGTGGCTCAAATCTATATATAAATATAAACACTCTGTGCATAATGAGTACCTTAAATACAAAAGAACCAATGAATGAAATCACACCAAATTTGCCAACAAAACGCCTCACAACACAAGGAGTGACCATCACTCAAAAATTATGATTTTGTCATTTGGGAGTTGTAGTTGCTGGGATTTATAGTTCACCTACAATCAAAGAGCATTCTGAACCCCACCAATGATGGAATTGAACCAAACTTGGCACACAGGACTCCCATGACCAACAGACAACACTAGAAGGGTTTTGTGGACACTGACCTTGAGTTTGGGAGTTGTAGTTCACCTACATCCAGAGAGCACTGTGGACTCAAACAATGATGGATCTGGACCAAATTTGGCACAAATATTCCATATGCCCAAATATGAACATAGATAGAGTTTGGGGAAAATAGACCTTGGCATTTAGGAATTGTAGTTACTGTGATGAGGAGATATTGGAAAAATAGATATTTATTTATGTAGGGAGGCACAACCAAAACACTCCGAACAGACTCTGTTGGCTCATATTCCCCCATGACCTTCTTGCAAGCAAACTAATCCAATGTGGGCTAGGCAAGGCTACTCTTTGGTGGATCTGAAGTTGGTTAAGCGACCGAACCCAAAGGGTGCTTCTCCCAAATGGATCCTTCTCTTCATCCTGAAAAAAGGTGACTATTTGGGTGCAATGAAGAGGGTCCTGTCCTGGGCCCAGTTCTGTTCAACATCTTTATCCATGACTTGGATGAAGGTTGAGAGGGCAGGCGGGACCAAATTGGGAGGGAAAGAAAATACTCTCAGAGGACAGGATCAGGACTCAAAAAGACCTTCACACATCAGAGAGCTGATTGGCCAAAACTAACATAATGGACTTCGACGAGGACAAATGTAAGATATTACATTTAGGTTGAAAAAATGGAAGGCAAAGATACAGGATGGGAGATGTCTGTCTCCACAACAGAACATGTGAGAAAGACATTGGAGTCATCGTGGAGAACAAGACGAACAGGAGCCAAGAGTGTGATGCAGCCACTCAAAAAGCCAATGGGATTCTGGGCTGTATCCAAAGGAGTCAAGAGTTCAGATTGAGGGAAGTCCTGGTGCCTCTTTATTAGGCTTTGGTCAGACCTCTAACCAAAGTCAGTCAGTAGTGTCTCAATGTCAGACTGTAGGATCTAAATAGGAACAGTAAATAACCACTCACAAGCCGGCTTACTTTGAAATGGATATATTGCTTGTATCTCTGCAGCAAAAAAAAGACACTACTGACTTTTGCCCACCACCACTTCCTTTTATACACCTTGCCTGCCCATCTCCCACTCTTCACAGTTTCCTGATTAGAACTTGTTGCTTCACAAGTTCCATAACATGGGTTGTTGTAGGTTTTTTCGGGCTATATGGCCATGTTCTAGAGGCATTCTCTCCTGATGTTTCGCCTGCCTCTATGGCAAGCATCCTCAGAGGTAGTGAGGTCACTACCTCTGAGGATGCTTGCTATAGATGCAGGTGAAACGTCAGGAGAGAATGCCTCTAGACCATGGCCATATAGCCCGAAAAAACCTACAACAACCCAGTGATTCCGGCCATGAAAGCCTTCGACAACACATTCCATAACATGGTTTCTATCGCCCTCTGTTGGAAATTTGTGATGTCTTCATGCTAACAGAAATGGACTCCTGACATTCCCCCAGGCAGTAGCAAGCCACCCGTAACAACTGCCAGGCCATCATATAACACCGCAATGAGTCGCCCTTGGGCCGAGAATTGCGGTACATAAGCGAAGTAAATAAATAAATAAATAAATATGCTAATCAAGGTGGCCAACTGAAACATTCACACCTAGCTCCAACAGACAAGAGTTCATTCTCCCACCCTGGACTTTCCATAGATATATAAACCCCTTTTTCCTAGTATCCAAAAGACCTCTCAACCTCTGAGGATGCCTGCCATAGATGCAGGCGAAACGTCAGGAGAGAATTATTCTGGAACATGGCCAGACTGCCCAGAATACACACAACAACCCAGTGTTTCCGGCCATGAAAGCCTTCCACAATACATCCTCATGATCAACATCAGAGCACCTTCTTTCCATCGGATCCAGTCTGGTCCAGGTTCGGCATCTAAATCTTCGGCCCGGAGAGCAATAATACAACCAGACCAGATCCTCCAAGAGAATATTTATTAACCAAACAAAGTGACGACAACCAAAGAGAGAGAAGAAAACGATAGGTCGATGCTTGAGAAAGATGGTACCTGCCCCCCTTTTTCACAGCTCCTGATGCTTCAGAGGAAACAAATGGGATGTCATCCGCAAATACATTTGGGGTCCTTTCCATGCCCAAATGTTGCCCGACTTTGCTCCTTCCTTCCAGAGTCCAAGGCTGCCTCCTGAAGCACTTTCCTTTTGCCCAGCAACTTGGCCATGATTTGGTTGCCCTCTTTTCCCCTTTCCATGCCCCAAAAATGGACTTAAAATGCACAATTGTGTAGTCATCACCGCATTTTAAGGTGTGCCGAGAGTCAGAGGAATCTCATCCTCTTTTATCCTTGTCTCTGAAGCATGGCAGAAAAGAGATAGGTGTGAATTTCCTCATTTTTGTCTTTTTCACGGCACCGAGTTTCGGTTCCACTCGGTTCAATTTATCCAAACCAAGATGAGCCAAAGTTTCCGCGTTTTGCCCAGAATCAATTCTAAGTCAATGGCTTTTATGGCTGCCATCCTAAATCGATTCAAGGAAGAAGGAAAATGCCCATTTGCCAGTCCTACCGAGGCTACCAGGACCCCAAAGTCCGGCCGGAGACTGGATTTGGGTCCTGAATTTGGCACCGACTGGTTCCTCTCTAGCCTCAAGTTGGCCACGTTTATCCCTTTATCAAAGACAGGAACAGAGGATGCAACGTTGGGGGTTTTTCCTTGAAGGCATCCCCACTTTCTTGGCTTTCGGGGTTTTCAGGAAAGGGGTCAGTTGGGGAGAAAAAAGGAATTGACTCTCCTCCCCATCCCAGTCCTTTCTTCCTTTTGTCCTCCCCTTCTTCCATCATTCTTTGCCTTTTGCCATCAGATCTGCAAACAGAAAAAGGAGAAAGAAACCAAAAATGATTTCCAAGTACTGGGATACTAGAAATAACACTTTAAACACAACTTATTTGGAATTGACTTGCCCTGGACTCCATCTGAGGCTGAGAGAGTGTGACTTGCTCAAGCTGGGTCTCTAAAGCCAAGCAGGGATGCAGAGCCAGAGTCCTAGTCTAAACCCTGGGATTTAGTTCCACCTTGTCTCCTCTGCTATGCTAATAATATAGGTCCTGTTCAACATCTTTATTAATGACTTAGATGAAGGGTTAGAAGGCAGGACCATCAAGTTTGCAGACGACACCAAATTGGGAGGGATAGCCAATACTCCAGAGGACAGGAGCAGGATTCAAAACGATCTTGACAGATTAGAGAGATGATGGGCCAAAACTAACAAAATGAAGTTCAACAGTGACAAATGCAAGATACTCCACTTTGGCAGGAAAAAACGAAATGCAAAGAGACAGAATGGGGGACAATGCCTGGCTCGAGAGCAGTACGTGTGAAAAAGATCTTGGAGTCCTCGTGGACAACAAGTTAAACATGAGCCAACAATGTGATGTGGCGGCAAAAAAAGCCAATGGGATTTTGGCCTGCATCAATAGTAGCATAGTGTCTAGATCTAAGGAAGTAATGCTACCCCTCTATTCTGCTTTGGTTAGACCACACCTGGAATATTGTGTCCAATTCTGGGCACCACAATTCAAGAGAGATATTGACAAGCTGGAATGTGTCCAGAGGAGGGCGACTAAAATGATCAAGGGTCTGGAGAACAAGCCCTATGAGGAGCGGCTTAAGGAGCTGGGCATGTTTAGCCTGAAGAAGAGAAGGCTGAGAGGGATATGATAGCCATGTATAAATATGTGAGAGGAAGCCACAGGGAGGAGGAGGGAGCAAGCTTGTTTTCTGCTTCCCTGGAGACGAGGACGCAAAGGAACAATGGCTTCAAACTACAAGAGAGGAGATTCCATCTGAACATGAGGAAGAACTTCCTGACTGTGAGAGCCATTCAGCAGTGGAACTCTCTGCCCCGAGTGTGGTGGAGGCTCCTTCTTTGGAAGCTTTTAAACAGAGGCTGGATGGCCATCTGTCAGGGTGATTTGAATGCAATATTCCTGCTTCTTGGCAGGGGGTTGGACTGGATGGCCCATGAGGTCTCTTCCAACTCTTTGATTCTATGATTCTATGAATATAATATAATATAATATAATAATATATAATATAATATAATAATATGCATATACATATACTATATATAATATTATAATTTAATACAATATAATACTAACAATAATAATATGATATTATAATTATATATTTTATATTACATGTAATACTACTAATAATATTACAGTATAATGGTATGGTGTAATATAATAATATATTATTCTGGTATGGTGCTATGCTAATAATATTGTATGTATATGTATCTTGTAAGCTGCTCTGAGTCCCTGTCGTGGGTGAGCTGTTTTCTGATGATGAGGATGATGGGATTCAGATTCCTGCTGGGATTCAGCTTCCTGGCTCTTTGTCTGTGCCTCAAATCTCTGGGCCTGCTCCAGAGGTTCCCACAGACAGTGCAGTGTCAACACAGCCATTCCCAGCAGAAAGGAATTTTAACGAAGGAGATAGCGAGCAGGTGCCTTCCCATGCTGATACCGAAAGTGCAGATAGTGACTTGACCTGGCAAGCTCGTCTTGATCTGAGGGTCAGGCGGAGTTCTCGTCTGGCCGACAGACGAGAAGCCAGCTCGGTGAAAGGTCATCGCAATGTTTTTATGATGATGAGAGCCTAATGTTTTCATATTAGAAAGGTATTTAGGCTTCTTGCAAACCCTGAGAAAGTGTCAGTTCAACGTAGCTTACTAGCCTGAAAGCTTCATGGAATAACCTTAGCCTGGAAAGCAGTACGCTTGGGATTCCTTGCATTGTGATTCATGGGGCAATTGTTTCATTGCTGGTACCTGAGACTCTGGTTTGAACTTTGCCAATAGGATTGTGTCTCCTGCTTTTACCTGAAGATCTGTGGAACTATATTCTGCATTTAACCTTAATCTTTGGAACTTTGCAATGCTTATTCTTTATTTTGACTTGGATTTTTTCCTCAATAAACTATAAAACTACAGCTCGTGTGGTGATGTTTGGAAGCAAGGTGAAGCTTACTCTGAGTTGCAGCAGTCCCCTTCGGGGTGAACAGGATGGCATATAAATGTCGTAAATAAATAAATACATTTGCAGTTTAGGGAGGAGTGTTTTCTCCCACTGAATCTCTCCAAGTGCCTTCCCAAACTCCACGGGGCAATGCAATGCAGAGCCATAGCATGAAAGAGCCACACCTGTGGTCCAAACCCACATTACCTTGCACAACCGCCTTCCGGTTTCACACTTCCCGAAGAAGCTGGAGAGAAAAAGAAAGGATATGAAAACCGAAATGTCAATAATCTTAAAGCATAGGTTCTTTTCGTTGCAATTTTCCAGTAAGAGAAAGGGTATCAGAACTTTTGCAGAACAACATTTAGACATACAGACTCTATGTAACTATATTGAATTCACAAACAACCTACAGTTATATTGGCTAACAAACAAACAAAGGGAAATTACATTGGCATTCACATTACCCATATAAACATTCAGTCATCTTCATGCATATAAATATTCTCCCTCCTTGGAGAAGAATACTGGTTAGGCCAGAGTGTTTCCTTGTAAATCTGCCACTTTTCCAATACTTCCAAAACTTCTAAAATGCCAAAAAATGTCCTAAATGCATCCTCTGACACTCCCAAATACACCATCTCCTTCAATAGAGCATGGCGGGAGAACAGCACCGCTGTCTGTCAAAATTTTTGGATTGTAATAAGGTCTCTTATATAGCAATATTTCTGCTGATGTTGTTCCAAAGTTGGAAATGAAAGACAGATGTTTTTCCAGCCTGAAACATTCTGGCTTCACCTCTTCCTTCCTGACAAATATACCTTTTTCATTGCTATCTCATCCAGAGTTTTATTATTTTATGTTGTGCATTTGGCCCGCCCACTGTGTTTGATTTTCCATTATGTTATTTTGCACTGTTTATTTTACTTGAATGGCTTATTTATTTTATTGTGATGTGATTTTTGTTGTTTACATTTTATTTTGCTGTAATGTATCGCTGGGCTTGGCCTCATGTAAGCTACATGTAAGTTCCCTTTGGGGAGATGGTGGCAGGATATAAATAAAGTTTATCATCATCATCATCATCATCATCAAGCAGCTGAGGAAGGAAAGGACCTGAAGCCAGGAATTATGGGAGTCCAAGTTTGCCCATGCCTGATCTACATTATAGAACAAAAGGTATCTGGCACCACTTGAAGTGCCACATCTCATGCTATAGAGACCTTTTGCCATAGGATGCAATACTGGCATTTTAATAAAAGGAGCTATTGATTGCATGCATGAATATTAGCCATGCGTTGCAAAGGCCCCAAAGGTCACTGACTCTAAATCGCCCTGGAGCCTTTCCTATGGCATAATGATAGCCCCTTTAACTGCAATCGTTGCATCCTATTGAATTTGCACTTCAGGGAGATGGGTTCAAGGCCAACCTTAAAAACTCTGGCATAGACACTGAGAACTGGGAAGCCCTGGCCCTTGAGCGCTCCAGCTGGAGCTCAGCTGTGCCCAGCAGTGCTGCAGAATTTGAAGAGGCACGAATGGAGGGTGAAAGAGAGAAAGGTGCCAAGCAGAAGGCGCGTCAAGCTAACCCCGACCGAGACCACCTTCCACCTGGAAATCAATGCCCTCACTGTGGGAGAAGATGCAGAGCAAGAATAGGGCTCCACAGTCACCTACGGACCTGCCGCCAAGACACCGAACTTGGAGGACCATCATCCTCGGACTACGAGGGGTCACCTAAATAATCCAGGGATTTGCACTTCAGGGAGAGTCAACAACAACAAGTCTCTATTACAGCCCATGACCAGCACAGCACAGGGAGATTCACTGAGACTTAACCACAAATCCCAGAACTCCACAGGTTGCAGCCATGAGAGTTAAAGTGAATTACAGAGCTATCGATTGTGCAGTGTGAAAAAAGAAAGAGAGCATCGCAATGCATTTGAAGGGTCAACATCTATGTTGAGGCTGCTTTCCTTTTTGGTGATTCCAAAATGTCAAAAGCCGTGACAAGCCCCATGCTGCCCCGATCCCAATCTCACCGTCAGGGGGTCGGTCGTGAAGGCGGCCACGCTGTTCCTCATCTCGCTCTCGTTGCCCCGAAGAGGGATCAAGGAGATGTTCCCCAGTCGGGAATCCTGCTGGATCCGAGATGCCCGGATTTTGGACGACTCCGAGGGCCAGATGTTGCCCCCGTGCTGCAGAAGAAAGGGCATGGGGAGAGATCGGGGCAAAGAAGCGACAGGTTTTTCCAGGATGCAGATATGCCCCTGTCTCTCCCCCTCAAGGTCCTAAAATTAAGTCTCTTGGCAAGGGAAAACTGGTCCTGACACATGAGGCATGGAGGAGTGAGGCAAGGAATATGATCCTGCAACTCCCTGGCACCTTCTCTTCCTACAATCCTGTAACTCCCTTGCATCCTCTGTTCCTACAATCCTATGATTCCTTTGCATCATCTGGTCCTATGTTCCTGTAGTTTCTTTGCAATCCCTGTCCTTATGATCCCATAACTCCCTTGCATCATCTGTTCCTACGATTCTGTGATTCCTTTGCATTATCTCTTCCTACAATCCTATAACCCCTTTGCAACCTCTCCTTTCCATCATCTGTTCCTATGATTCCTTAGCATCATCTCTTCCTGCAATCCTATAGCTCCTTTGCACCCTCTGTCCTTATGATCCTATAACTCCTTTCCATCATCTGGTCTTACGATTCCTTTCCTATGATCCTATAGCTCCTGTGCATCATCTGTTCCTACGATCCTGCAATTCCTTTGCGTCATCTCTTCCTACAATCCTATAACTCCTTTGCAGCCTCTGTCCTTATGATCCTATAACTCCTTTGCAGCCTCTGTCCTTATGATCCTATAACTCCTTTGCATCATCTGCTTCTGTAAGCCTATAGTTCTTTTACATCCTCTGTTCCTATGATCTTATAACTTCCTTTGCATTCTGTTCCTACAATCCTTTAACTCCTTTGCAACCTCTGTACTTATGATCCTATAGCTCTTTTGCATCATCTGTTCCTATGATCCTATTATTCCTTTGCATCATCTCTTCCTACAATCCTGAGACTTCTTTGCAACCTCTGTCCTTACGATGCTATAACTCCTTTGCATCATCTGATCCTATGATTCCTTTCTATCATATGTTCCTACGATTCTACACCTCCTTTGCAGCATCTGTTCCTACAATCCTATGGCTCTTTTGCAACCTCTGTCCTTATAATCCTATGATTCCTTTGCATCATCTCTTCCTACAATTCTGTAGCTCCTTTGAAACCTCTGTGCTTACGATCCTATAACTCCTTTGCAATCTCTGTCCTTACGATCCTATAACTCCTTTGCAATCACTGTCCTTATGATCCTATAACTCCTTTGCATTATCTGTTCCTGCGATCCTATAACTCCTTTGCAATCACTGTCCTTATGATCCTATAACTCCTTTGCAATCACTGTCCTTATGATCCTATAACTCCTTTGCATTATCTGTTCCTACGATCCTATAATTCCTTTGCAATCACTGTCCTTATGATCCTATAACTCTTTTGCAATCGCTGTCCTTATGATCCTATAACTCCTTTGCATTATCTGTTCCTACGATCCTATAACTCCTTTGCAATCACTATCCTTACGATCCTATAACTCCTTTGCAATCGTTGTCCTTATGATCCTATAACTCTTTTGCAATCTCTTTCCTTATGATCCTATAACTTCTTTGCAATCATTGTCCTTACGATCCTATAACTCCTTTGCATTATCTCTTCCTACGATCCTATAACTCCTTTGCAATCTCTGTCCTTACGATCCTATAACTCCTTTGCATCTTCTGTTCCTGTGATCCTATAACTCCTTTGCAATCTCTGTCCTTACGATCCTATAACTCCTTTGCATTATCTGCTCCTATGATCCTATAACTCCTTTGCAATCTCTGACCCTCTGATCTTATAACCCCTTTGTTTCATCTGTGACTATGATCCTATAACTCCTTTGCAACCTCTGTCCTTAGGGTCCTACAACTCCTTTGCAGCCTCTGTTCTCATAATCCTATGATCCCTTTGCCACCTCTGTTCCAACGACCGCAAAGGAGTCATAGGAACATCGGAGTCTGCAGAGAAGTCAACCAAAAAGCTGTGCTGGAGTAGCTAGAGATCCCTAAGGGAAATATCTCTCTGGGAATCTTTAGGTCTTTTGGCCCAACTCTTAGGATCAACCTCTATATAAATAAGCACTGAGAACAAGGGATAGGCAGTTCTCTTGAAGGGCTGGGAGATGAATTATGCAAGGCTTTGGCATCATTATGCAGATGTGCTCCATGTCTGCATAATTCATGGCAGTCCACTTGCAGGGAGGGAAAAAGGATCAGGAAGCCCAGAACAATTTGCAACTATGGGCTGCAAGTCCCAGAATGTCCATCACTGGCTGGGGATTCTGGGAGTTGTAGTCCAATTAAAAGCTCCCTTTTTCCCCCAAGCTCCATATCAGGGGATTTCAGGAGTTACCTGCACGGAGAGGAAGGTGGCAAACCAGGCCCGGAGCTCCATCTGGGTATCGCAGCAAAGGTACCTGCAGGAGACAAAGAGGAAGAATGGAGACGCAGACCTTCACGCTTTAGAGCAAGAAAGGACTGCAAATGCAAAAGCCTTCTCCTGGAGAAAACCCCAGGTCTCTGCTTTGCTCTTGTTGTCTGGGCTTGGCCTCATGTAAGCCACCCCCAAGTCCCCAGTGGGGAGATGATGTCGGGGTATACATAAAGTTTTATTGTTGTTGTTGTTGTTGTTGTTCTAGAAAGGTCTAGGAATGAGGCACGAGTGAAGCACAGAGTATTTGAGGATGGGGACATCCGTAGGGAGACTAAGGTACTTGTTTATAAAGCTATTGTCCTCCCAACCCTGCTTTACACTTGCGAAACATAGACTGTCTACAGACATCACATGCAACTCCTGGAACGATTCCATCATCGTTGCCTCTGGAAAATCCTGCAAATCTCTTGGGAAGACAGGCAAATAAACATCAGCGTGCTGGAAGAAGCAAAGACCACTAGCATTGAAGCAATGGTCCTCTGCCATCAACTCCACTGGACCAGCCACGTTGTCCGGATGCCTAACCACCCTCTCTGAACGTTTACCTCTCTGAACGTATTCTCCCCTACGAACCATCAAGATTATTAAGATCATCTGGAGAGGCCCTGCTCTCGTTCCCACCGGCCTCGCAAGCGCGTCTGGTGGGGATGAGGGACAGGGCCTTCTCGGTGGTGGCCCCGTGACTCTGGAACTCTCTCCCACCAGAGGTCAGAACCGCCCCGTCTATCCTGACATTTAGGAAACGGGTGAAGACGTGGCTGTGGAGTCAGGCTTTTGATGAATGAGACAACACCCTAGGATTCTGGATGGAAGATGATATAGATCTGATTTTAATATGACGACTGACCACCGTAGTTTATATATAGTGTTATTTTAAATCTGTTACTGTAATGGTGATATATGATATTTTAATGATTATATGTGTTTTTATGGTTGGAAACCGGGCGGAGACCCTCAATGAGGTTGAGAAGGTTCGGTATAGAAAACTTTGAAATAAATAAATAAATAAATCTCCCAAAGCAGCTGCTCTACTCCGAACTCAAGAACAGAAACAGGAATGTTGGTGGGCGGGAGAAGAGATTGAAAGATGGGCTCAAAGTGAATCTTAAAAACTGTGGCATTGACACCGCAAACTGGGATGCCTTGGCCCTTGAGTGCTCCAGCTGGAGGTCAGCTGTGACCAGCAGTGATGCAGAATTTGAAGAGGCACAAATGGAGGGTGAAAGAGAGAAACATGCCAAGAGGAAGGCATGTCAAGCCAACCCCAACCAGGACCACCTTCCACCTGGAAACCAATGTCCTCACTGCGGGAGAAGATGTGGGTCAAGAATAGGGCTCCACAGTCACCTACGGACCCACCGCCAGGACACCAAACTTGGAAGACAATCTTACACGGACAACAAGGGATCACCTAAGTAAGTAAGTAAGTATGAAAGGTCTCCATTTCGAGGAGAGGTCCCATTCCTGTTCCAAGAGAGAGGTCAAGTACCTATTCCTAAAAGGTCAAGTCATTGCTTCCAATGCGGTCAAGCCCTTGTTTCTGGAAAGGTCATCTTCTCTTTTCTACAGAGGTCAAACCCTTGACCTCTCTTGGAGAACATCCCTGATCTTAGACCAGGTATGGGCAAACCTTGGCCCTCCAGCTATTTTGGACTTCCAACTCCCACAATTCCTAACAGCCTACCAGCTGGGTTGCTGTAAGTTTTTCGAGTTGCATGGGCATGTCCCAGAAGCATCCTCTCCTGACGTTTTGCCTGCTGGAGCTGTTTTGAAATGCATAATGTAGATTTCAAAGTATGTATGTATGTATGTTTAAAATGTGATGCTATGTGCCGAGTGTATTTCCTGTGTGGAAAGAGTTAACAGAACCATGGAGGGAACGGCATTCCTAGAGAGGTCAAAAATCAAAGTGTGTAGAGCAATGGACGCAGCATCGTGCGTCACTCTGGAATGCAGGAGGTGTGGACTGATACTGATAACAGTGTGTTCTGTGTGTTCGAGATGTAGCCACCAGACAGAGAGGAAGCAGTTTTACGATGTGCTGCTGTTTATAGTTAGAATCCTAGAGTTGGAAGAGACCTCATGGGCCATCCAGTCCAACCCCATTCTGCCAAGAAGCAGAAATATTGCATTCAAATCACCCCTGACAGATGGCCATCCAGCCTCTGTTTCAAAGCTTCCAAAGAAGGAGTCTCCACCACACTCCGGGGCAGAGAGTTCCACTGCTGAATGGTTCTCACAGTCAGGAAGTTCTTCCTCATGTTCAGATGGAATCTCCTTCCTTGTAGTTTGAAGCCATTGTTCCATTGCGTCCTTGTCTCCAGGGCAGCAGAAAACAAGTTCACTCCCTCATCCCTGTGGCTTCCTCTCACATATTTATACATGGCCATCATCATGTCTCCTCTAAACCTTCTCTTCTTCAGGCTAAACATGCCCAGTTCCTTAAGCCCCTCCTCATAGGGCTTGTTCTCCAGACCCTTGGTTGTTTTAGTCGCCCTCCTCTGGACACATTCCAGCTTCTCAATATCTCTCTTCAATTGTGGTGCCCAGAATTGGACACACTATTCCAGGTGTGGTGTAACCAAAGCAGAATAGAGGGCTAGCATGATTTCCCTAGATCTAGACACTATGCTCCTATTGATGCAGGCCAAAATCCCATTGGCTTTTTTTGCCGCCACATCACATCATGACTCATGCTTAACTTGCTGTCCACGAGGACTCCAAGACCTTCTTCACACGTCCTACTCTCGAGCCAGGCATCGTCCTCCATTCTGTATCTTTGCATTTAGTTTTTTCTGCCCAAGTGGAGTGTCCTGCATTTGTCACTGTTGAACTTCATTTTGTTAGTTTTGGTTAGTTTTGTAAATAAAGTAGTTTATAGCCTAAAGTGGCTGATGATTATGTTCCTTGCCTTGTTGTGCGGCGATGCCACTGACATTGCCTGCATTTAAGCAGGCATCTTCACAACCTCACAACCTGAGGATGCCTGCTATAGATGCAGGCAAAACGTCAGGAGAGAATGCTTCTGGAACATGGCCATACAGCCCAAAAAACCTACAGTGATTTTGGCCATGAAAGCCTTCAACCAGCCTACCAGCTGTTAGGAATGGTGGGAGTTGAAGTCCAAAACACCTGGAGAGCCAAGTATGCCCATGCCTGCTTGATATGGCTGTTTTGACATCTCTACCTGTCTCTGTCTGAACTATTTTAAGTCACTTTGAGCCCCAGATCTAGAGGAAAAGGCAGGATGATTCATAAGGAGGAGGAGGAGGACAACAATGCGATGACGAGGCTACGGACTTAATTTAATTTCTTGGAAATGAGTCCCACTTTCCAGAAAAGGAGACAGGTGCAAAGAGGATGACGACACAAAGAAGATATAAGGGATTAAATATCCCTTATTTGGAATTCCCAAATGCTCCAAAGTCCTGGAAGTCCTGATACTTTCGCTCTGTGATGACTCAATGTACCCAAAATTTGCTTCAGGAACATATTATAAGCATTGCACTACGTAACACGATTTTTGTTCCTTAGTTATGAATGTCATTTCCTAATTGGTTCTATCATTAAAAACATGGGAAATGTTTATTAAACTACGAAGACTTTGTTTTTTCAGGAAGGATATTGAATTATAGAATCCTAGAGTTGGAAGAGACCTCATGGACCATTCAGTCCAACCCCATTCTGCCAAGAATGTCGCTCCATGGGTCAGACCACACCATGAATATTGTGTCCAATTCTGGGCACCACAATTCAAGGGAGATATTGACAAACTGGAATGTGTCCAGAGGAGGGCGACTAAAATGATCAAGGGTCTGGAGAACAAGCCCTATGAGGAGTGGCTTAAGGAGCTGGGCATGTTTAGCCTGAAGAAGAGAAGGCTGAGAGGAGACATGATGGCCATGTATAAATATGTGAGAGGAAGCCACAGGGAGGAGGGAGCAAGCTTGTTTTCTGCTTCCTTGCAGACTAGGACGCAATGGAACAAAGGCTTCAAACTACAAGAGAGGAGATTCCATCTGAACATGAGGAAGAACTTCCTGACTGTGAGAGCCGTTCAGCAGTGGAACTCTCTGCCCCGGAGTGTGGTGGAGGCTTCTTCTTTGGAAGCTTTTAAACAGAGGCTGGATGGCCATCTGTCAGGGGTGATTTGAATGCAATATTCCTGCTTCTTGGCAGGGGGTTGGACTGGATGGCCCATGAGGTCTCTTCCAACTCTTTGATTCCATGATTCTATGATTCTATGAATGCCCACTACATGTCTCCTCTCAGCCTTCACTTCTGCAGGCTAAACAGGCCCAGCTCTTTCAACCGCTCCTCATAGGGCTTGTTCTCCAGACCCTTGATCCTTTGAGTTGCCCCCTTCCTCTGGACACCTTCCAGCTGAGAGTCAACATCTCCCTTCACTCCTGCAGTACATTTGGCTCCAGTTTCCCAATGAGTATCATCTCAACATCGAGTCTCAACCAATTCAACATAGTTAGTGACACAAAAACGAAGTTTCTGGAGTAGAAAAACTACTTCCAAAGTAAAGATTGCATGATTAAACAGGAAATGACACTTTCAAACCAGGAAAAGAACCTTTTTGGAAATGTTGTTACATAGCGTTATGCTTAAAATGACCTTCAGTCTGTGTATATAAGGTGAATATGAAATATTAATGGATCTTGTCTTTCAACTTTGGTGCCATCTCCAAAAGGACGTCTACACAGTAGAATGAATGCAGTTCGGCACCTCTTTAACTGCTGTGTCTCAATGGTATGGAATCCTGGGAGTTGTAGTTTGGTGAGGTCCTGGCTCTCTTTGGCAGAGAGTAACAATAACAATAACAATAACAATAATATGATGATGATGAGAATAATAATAATACTTTATTTATAGACTACCCTATATCTCCCCAGTGGCGCAGTGGGTTAAAGCGCTGAACTGCTGAGCTTGTTGACCCGAAAGGTCGCAGGTGCTATTCTGGGGAGCGGGGTGAGCTTCCGCTGTCAGCCCTAGCTTCTGCCAACCTAGCAGTTCGAAAACATGCCAATGTGAGTAGATCAATGGGAAGGTAAAGGCACTCCATGCAGTCATGCCGGCCACATGACCTTGGAGGTGTCTATGGACAACGCTGGCTCTTTGGCTTAGAAATGGAGATGACCACCAACCCCCAGAGTCAGACATGACTGGACTTAATGTCAGGGGACAACCTTTACCTTTACCTATATCTCCCCAAGGGGACTAACGACTTGCAAAACTGCAATTCCCAGGATTCCATACCATTGAGACATAGCAGTTAAAGAGGTGCTGAACTGCATTCATTCTACCATGTAGATGAATTGTTAAGATAGCTCATTATGCAAACACAGGCATTCCAAAATATGGAATCCAAAGCACTTCTGGTCTCGTGTGTTTTGGAGATGTGAGACTTAGTTTGTACCCATTCATAGAGATGGCTGAGCCGCTTACCATTGCTGCTTCTCCATCTTCTCGTTCTCAAAAAAGACGGTGAAGCCCCAGCTGCAAAAGGAAAGCATAAGGTTGGTTACACTTTGCACTGCAGAATTATTATCATCATCATTATTATTATTATCATTATTATTATTTACATCCCGCATTAGGGAAAACAGGATCAGAAAACCACACGGGTCCCATGGAGCGACACTGCCATCTGGTGATGGAGGCATGCATTGGCACAAGGCTTCCTTGGATGCAAAGAGATGGTAGAATCCCAGCACTAAGGAGCACCAAGGGGACAATATCATAAAAGACAACCAGGATAAACACAGCATTAAGGAGAATCACGGGAAACATAGTGCTTAAGAAGAGCCAAGGGAAAAATGGTGCTAAAGGAAGCTGATGGGAAGTGCAGGAAAGCATTGGGCTAAGGGGTTGTTGTTCATTCGTTCAGTCGTCTCCGACTCTTCATGACCTCATGGACCAGCCCACGCCAGAGCTCCCTGTCGGCCGTTACCACCCCCAGCTCCCTCAAGGTCAGTCCAGTCACTTCAAGGATGCCATCCATCCATCTTGCCCTTGGTCGGCCCCTCTTCCTTTTGCCTTCCACTTTCCCCAGCATCATTCCCTTCTCTAGGCTTTTCCTGTCTCCTCATGATGTGGCCAAAGTACTTCAACTTTGTCTCTAGTATCTTTCCCTCCAGTGAGCAGTCGGGCTTTATTTCCTGGAGGATGGACTGGTTGGATCTTCTCGCAGTCCAAGGCACTCTCAGAACTTTCCTCCAACACCACAGCTCAAAAGCATCGATCTTCCTTCGCTCAGCCTTCCCTAAGGTCCAACTCTCACATCCGTAGATGACTACAGGGAATACCATGGCTTTGACTAGGCGGATCTTTGTTGCCAGTCTGATGTCTCTACTCTTTACTATTTTATCGAGATTGGACATTGCTCTCCTCCCAAGAAGTAAGCGTCTTCTGATTTCCTGGCCACAGTCTGCATCTGCAGTAATCTTTGCACCTAGAAATACAAAGTCTATCACGGCCTCCACATTTTCTCCCTCTATTTTCCAGTTGTCAATCATTCTTGTTGCTATAATCTTGGTTTTTTGATGTTTAGCTGCAACCCAGCTTTTGCGCTTTCTTCTTTCACCTTGATTAAAAGGCTCCTCAGCTCCTCCTCGCTTTCGGCCAAGGGATTCCAGTTCAATATATTCCAAGGGAAATGAGGAGTTTTAATTCACATAGGCAGATTATCTGGCAAATGGGCTGCTACTTCTTCCTCTGTCTTCCTCCTCTATCTCCCTTCCTCCCCCTCCTCTTCCTACTTCTCCTTCCTCTTCCTCCTCCTCTTCTCCTTTTTCATCTTCTTCTTGCTCTTCTTTCTTCTCCTCCTCCTCCTTCCTCTTCTCTTTCTTGCTCTTCTTCTTCCTCTTCCTCCTCTTCTTCCTCCTTTTCTTCTTCCTCTTCTCTTTCTTGCTCTTCTTCTTCCTCTTATTTTTCTCCTCTTTCTTCTTCCTCTTCTCCCTCTTCCTTTTATCTTTCCTGCTCTTCTTCTTCCTCTTCTTTCTTCTTCGTCCTCCTCTCCTTCTTCCTCTTCTTTTTTCTTGCTCTTCATCTTTTTTCTCCTTCTTCCTCTTCTCTTTATTTATTTGTAATTTGTAATTTTTAATGTATATGTATTTTAACTTGTTATTGTATGATGTTTTTAGACTGTATTATCAGCACTGAATCCTTGTTGTGAGCCAGTCCGAGTCCCTCTACGGAGGTAAAGAAGATCAGGATATAAAAAGTTTTTAAAAAAATAAATAAATAAATATTCTTCTCCTTCCTCTTCTCCTTCTTTCTCTTTCTCCTCATCTTCTTCTTGCTCTTCTCCTTCTTCTTCTCCTCCTTCTTCCACCTCTTCTTCCTCTTATATTTTCCTCCTATCTGCCTTCTTTCTCCTCTTCCTCCTGTTCTCCTTCTTATATTTGTACAGAAGAATCTCGCTTCTCCAACCTTCGCTCATCCAACGTTCTGTATTATCCAACGCAATCTGCCTCCTGCCCAGATCCACTGCTGATTCAATACATTGCAATGTTTTGATGCTAAATTCGTAAATACAGTAAATATTACATAATGTTACTGTGTATTGAACTGCTTTTTCTGTCGATTGGTTGTTTTAGTGTTTAATTTGTGAAATCATAACATAATTTGATGTTCAATAGGCTTTTCCTTGATCCCTCCTTATTATCCAACATTTTGGCTGCTTATCCAAGGTTCTGCCAGCCTGTTCGTGTTGGATAAGCTTAGACTCTACTGTATCCCTCTTTTCTCTCTGAATTGAGACCCAAAGCTGGGCCGGGGAATCCGAGCCTCCCTTTCTGTAATGCCGTGAGACCCGTTCCCACCAGCCCAAGCCAGCCTGGTCAATGGGAAAGGCACTCTTTGGACGGGACGGCTGAATATTCTAGAGGAAAGACTTGCTCACCAACTCGGAGGACGGGCTTTCTTCTTGATGCCCAGGTAGATCTTCAGGTTCTTGACTGGCCATTCTTTCTCAGGTTTATGACTCTGAGCGAAGGAAGGAAGGAAGAAGACAGGAAGTCAAGAGGTTTACAAAGTTCGAACGAAAAAGTACTGCGTAAGTTACAATTCTTAACTTTTTTGGCATTTGTCAGATATTGCATCGTAAGTACAAATTTTACAAATTTGATCCGACTTACAAGGACTAACAATAACTTTGCACAGCCCTAATAGCCAGATATTCCTGTGCTGCCTCTTTACCTCTTCTGTGCTGCATTTCCCGTCTTGCACCCTCTGCTCCATCCTCCACAAGTTGAGCCCTGTTTACCTTTTCAGAAAAGACTGGGGATCTCTCCCAATTCTAGGTTTCTATGAGTAATTGTCTTATGGTTCTCCACTTCAGTTGGCTTTCAAGGGGAGCTTTTGGGGACTCACCCGGACCTCCTTGTAGAGGCGAAGGCACTCGCTGTTGAGGATGAAGTACCGGTCATGGAACCCGGTGCTGAGTCCAAGGCCAAGCAAGTTCTTCTCCTCCCGGAATTTCATCATTCCGTGTTTGCTGTCGCCCACCTTGCTGGCTGGGGAAGAAGGGAAAGTTGCAGAAACAAAGGAAAAAGGGTGTGCTGGTACAGCTGTACCAAGAGCTCCAACTTTATTTTCTTTCTGTTATCTGTTTGCAGTCATAGGGCAGGCCTCCTGTCCATCATAATTAAGCTTTGGTTCCACCCCTTGTTCAGGGCTCTGGGAGGAAAAGGAGCCATTTTTTGGGCAGTCTCACATCAGGAAGCCAAACGATAGGACGTAGACCAGCTCGTCCCGTAGAAAAGCTTCTTTTCTCAAGAACATTCAGGGAAACAGAAATTCCAGGGAAAAGGTCCCAAGGCTCTGGCTGAGAGCTCACAGCCTCTCAGCCTCACAGCAATCAGAGGGAAAACAACCCTGAGGTTTTCAAAGAATTCTCTGAGGGAGAACAGCATTACAGATCCACGGAACTCCATCTGAAATAGCTACAAGCCTCGGTAGGTCTACTCGATACCCAGACGCATTTGGAATCGGTAGTAGGACCCACACCGATGAGGCATAGATAGTAAACAGCCTGGGAGAGGTTAAAAAGGGTTTTTTCCTACAGAGAAAGTACAGTTAATCAAAATCAGGTACCAGTCCATTGAGGACTAGACTAAGAAAGCCTTGAAGTGTTGTTTGAACCATTGAAGATTTGTTGTTTGTTCCATAATAAAGACTTTGTTGTATCATTAAAGACTCTAAAGACCATCACTTCAGAAAAACCCCTGAGAACCTCTCTTTGAGGCGCCCTGGCTTCCAATGCAATGTCTCTTTCTCTACAGTCCCTGCATTAGGTGGTGAAATGACTACTGGGGACTTACCTAGATAGAGCAACATACTGTCCATGGAAAGCTGGCGCTTCACGACCAAATAGCTGTCCTTCCCGAGACTGTGCAAAATCGGAAGGACCTTCTCACTGTAGTGCAAGGGCCGCTCTGCACAAGGAAGGAAAGCCAAGAAAGGGCTGAAGGCGGAGGAATATGGAGCAGCACACCTTTGACTGAGTTTAAGGAGCCATGTTTAGCAGTGCATTGCACATTGCAAGCTAAGTTTGCACAGCACCGTTGACTCAGTTGCATGTAGAAGATCGAGCAAGCTGAGAATCCTAGAGTTGGGAAGGAACCTCCAAAAATAATCCAGACTGACCCCATTCAGATATCACTTGATAGAAATCGAAGGCCCTTTTTGCCTTCACCAGTCAACGGAATTGCTCTTGGCAGCTACCACTTTAGAATCTTAGAATTGAACAATTGGAAGGAACCCACAAGGGTCATTTAGTCCGACTTCTTGACCATCTTCTCCAAGCTAAACATCTACTGCTAATGGGATTCATATTTGAAGACACCATCTAACTTGAAAATCTCCTTTTTTCATAACTGGTTAAAGTCTTATTCCAGGTTAAGTCTGAGCAATGCAAAACAGAGCGGGGCTATGATTTCCCTTAATATACACACTCCTATTGAACCAGTATAGAATCGCATTGGCCTTTTTAGCTGCTGCATCACAGTCTTGATCTTTGTCTCATGCTCTACTAAGACTCCCAAGTCCCTTCAGGAGATCTCTGACCTGCCTCCTCCCGTTCATTCACTTCAAAGCAGCTCCAGAAGTCTTTCTCCTTCATGACGATTTTCCTCCGGTCCAGGATTTCGAAAACCAGTTCCTCCGCTGTCATTGTGGCAGGAACCTGGAAGAGGCAGAAGCACAGAAGCCATGCACTTCATAGTTTCTTAAGATGATGGGACCCTGGGATGCAATTTGTCTTAAATTCTCCTCCCATTTCCACCACTTCTTCTTACCCTGATATGCTGCTCTGTTTCTGTCTTCTTCTCCTCCAGGTACACAGTACAGATGAAGTCACCGGCTTGCTAAGAAGAAAGAGACACAAGGATGACCACAACGCCAGGCTCTTATCAACCTCAAAGCTCAATCCTCAAAAACTCACTATTGGTTGGACCGTAAGGCCACTTATCCAGGTTCTGCAAAACCCCAGATCGTTATCAACCCGAAATCTGGTCCTAACTATGTTATGCTTTAATAAACGCCCAATTAGGAAAATTCTGATGAGAACTTGGAACAAGTGCAAAAGCAAATGTTCTGCAAAAAATACCGCAATGGAAGGCTTTAAGCAAAGTGGAAATCCCAAGGGTAAACAGAAGATGGCACACCTATGCGGATTTACTCAAGAAGACATGAGGCTAACTGAAAACCAAGGTAGAATCATAGAATCAAAGAGTTGGAGGAGGCCTCATGGGCCATCCAGTCCAACCCCATTCTGCCAAGAAGAAGGAATACTGCATTCAAATCACCCCTGACAGATGGTCATCCAGCCTCTGTTTCAAAGCTTCCAAAGAAGGAGCCACCACCACACTCCAAGGCAGAGAGTTCCACTGCTGAATGGCTTTCACAGTCAGGAAGTTCTTCCTCATGTTCAGATGAAATTTCCTTTCTTGTAGTTTGAAATCATTGTTCCATTGCGTCCTAGTCTCCATGGAAGCAGAAAACAAGCTTGCTCCCTCCTCCTCCCTGTGGCTTCCTCTCACATATTTAGACATGGCTATCATATCTCCTCTCAGCCTTCTCTTCTTCAGGCTAAGCATGCCCAGCTCTTTGAGCCACTCCTCATAGGGCTTGTTCTCAAAATCCTTGATCATTTTAGTCGCCCTCGTATGGACACATTCCAGCTTGCCAACATCTCTCTTGAATTGTGGTGCCCAGAATTGGACACAATATTCCAGGTGTGGTCTAACCAAAGCGGAATAGAGCATGGGGAGCATGACTTCCCTAAATCTAGACACTAGGCTCCTCTTGATGCAGGCCAAAATCCTACTGGCTTTTTTTGCCACCACATCATATTCCTGGCTCATGTTTAACTTGTCCATGAGGACTCCAAGATCATTTTCACACATTCTGCTCTCGAGCCAAGCCTCATCGTCCCCCATTCTGTCTCTTTGCATTTCATTTTTTCTGCCTAAGTGGAGTCTCTTGCATTTGTCTCTGTTGAACTTCATTTTGTTAGTTTTGTCCAATTATCTCTCTAATCTGTGGAGATTGTTTTGAATCCTGCTCCTGTCCTCTGGAGTCTTGGCTCTCCCTCCCAGTTTGGTGTCGTCTGCAAACTTGGTGATCCTGCCTTCTAACCCTTCATCTAAGTCATTAATAAAGATGTTGAACAGGACCGGGCCCAGGATGGAACCCTGCGGGTGGCACTCCACTCGTCACTTCTTTCCAGGAAGAAACCAACAAAGCTACAACCTGAACCAGTTTGAAAGGACAGCTTTGCCATGACTGCCACTTGGTCCAAGCCTCAGCCTTTGCCCAAAGAAACCACTTGACCTTTCTGGAAAGACCCATGTGCTCCTTACCTGTGTCCCACTGGATGACCCCGCAATCCTCATTTTCATGATAGCGGTGATCTCCTCCTGCTGCTTCCTCATTTCCTCCTCATCCACCTGTCCGGATAAGGAAACAAACAGGGTTCTAGTTCAGTCTGATGTGGCTTTCTGCATTTTGTTCAATATAGGAACGCTTTCAACACAATAACATGCCAGTAAATTGCTGCATCTGCTTAAGGTTTCGGAGGAACTGAGGCTGGGTGACTGCCTGTCATAGAGAAAAAAGGGGTTGGGTTGGATGGCCCTTGGGGTCCCTTCAGAGTCAAGGATTCTATCTGGCCATCTATTGGGAGGGCTTTGGTTGTGTCTTCCTGCCATGTCACAAAGGGATTGAACTACATGGTCCTTGGGGTCCCTTTCGGCTCGATGATTATATGCAGTTTTGAAACACAGGCTGAATGGCCATCTGTTGGGACGGTTTGGAGGGCGTATTCATCCATAACTCCCTTCATGGCAGAAACAGGCCAGACTGGGTGGCCTTTAGGGTTCCCTTCTGACTCGAGTGGTATATAGACTGCCTGAGATTCCCATGGTGTAGTAGTACAAGAAATAGTAACACAAGAACAACAACAACATAAATACCAATAATAAATATAAACACTACTAATAAGTATATAATATACTATATTTAATAGTAATGATAATAAATATGATATTTACCACTACAACAACATAAATACTACTAATAAATCTATCTAAATACTACTAATAAATATTAATATACTATATTTAATAGTAACGATAATAATAAATATAATATTTACTACAACAATAACAATACTAATAAATGTAAATACTACTAATAAGTATTAATATAGTATATTTAATAGTAACGATAATAATAAATATAATATTTACCACAACAACAACAATACTACTAATAAATGTAAATACTACTAATAAGTATTAATATACTATATTTAATAGTAACGATACTAATAAATATAATATTTACCACTACAACAACAACAATACTACTAGTAAATGTAAATACTACTAATAAGTATTAATATAGTATATTTAATAGTAACGATAATAATAAATATAATATTTACCTCTACAACAACAATACTAATAAATGTAAATACTACTAATAAGTATTAATAAAGTATATTTAATAGTAACGATACTAATAAATATAATATTTACCACTACAACAACAATACTACTAAATGTAAATACTACTAATAAGTATTAATAAAGTATATTTAATAGTAACGATAATAATAAATATAATATTTACCACTACAACAACAATACTACTAATAAATGTAAATACTACTAATAAGTATTAATATACTATATTTAATAGTAACGATAATAATAAATATAATATTTACCACTACAACAACAACAATACTACTAATAAATGTAAATACTACTAGTAAGTATTAATATACTATATTTAATAGTAATGATAATAATAAATATAATATTCACTACAACAACAATACTACTAATAAATGTAAATACTACTAATAAGTATTAATAAAGTATATTTAATAGTAATGATAATAATAAATATAATATTTACCACTACTACTACAACACTACTAATAAATGTAAATACTACTAATAAATATTAATAGAGTATATTAAATAGTAACGATAATAATAAATATAATATTTACCACTACTACTACAACAACACTACTAATAAATGTAAATACTACTAATAAGTATTAATATACTATATTAAATAGTAACGATAATAATAAATATTTTACCACTACAACAACAACAATACTACTAATAAATATAAATACTACTAATAAGTATTAATATAGTATATTTAATAGTAATGATACTAATAAATATAATATTTACCACTACAACAACAACAATACTACTAGTAAATGTAAATACTACTAATAAGTATTAATATAGTATATTTAATAGTAATGATAATAATAAATATAATATTTACCACTACAACAACAACATAAATACTACTAATAAATCTAAATACTACTAATAAGTATATAATATACTATATTTAATAGTAACGTAATAATAAATATAATATTTACCACTACAACAACATAAATACTAATAATAAATCTAAATACTACTAATAAATATTAATATACTATATTTAATAGTAATGATAATAATAAATATAATATTTACTACTACTACTACTACAATAACAATACTACTAATAAATGTAAATACTACTAATAAGTATTAATATACTATATTTAATAGCAATGATAATAATAAATATAATATTTACCACTACTACAACAACAACAATACTACTAATAAATGTAAATACTACTAATAAGTATTAATATACTATATTTAATAGTAATGATAATAATAAATGTAATATTTACCACTACTACAACAACAACAACAATACTACTAAAAAATATAAATACTACTAAGTACTAATATACTATATTTAATAGTAATGATAATAATAAATATAATATTTACCACTACTACAACAACAGCAACAACAACAACAGCATGTAACGAAGTTTGAAAATGTGTTCTGTTCCTGGTTTGAAAGTGTTATATCCTATTTCATTGTATGGTCCTTACTTTGAAAGTAGTTGTTCTACTCCACAAACTTTGTTTTTGTGTCACAAACTATGTTGAATTTGTTGCAACTCTATGATGAGAGATTCATTGAAAAACCAGGACAAAATGTGCTATAGCAGGATGTCCCTCCCACAAAAACTAAGTTTTGGCAGTTTAATAAACTTTCCCCATGTTTTTATTAGGAAATTACATTGATAACCCAGTTACAAAACTCGTGTGACATTGTGTAGTAGTAGTAGTAGTAGTAGTAGTAGTAGTAGTAGTAGTAATACAAATCCTCCCCTCCAAACCTACACTGAAAATATCCACGTAGCATCGGATGAGGTCCTCCACCACTCGCCCGGCTTTGTAGTCTTGTCCATCCGTCTGGAAGAGCGTTGGGCCGAAGACGATGGCCAAGTTGTGCGTGTTCATCTGGTTCATGTCAGCAAAGCACTGGACCCTGCAAGGAAAGCAGCAGAAAAGGGAGGAAATGCATCCTGTCCGCTCCGTGTGGCCATCCAAACAATCAAACTGGCCTTTACCTTTTGAAAACTCAAGTTGAGCCACACCAAATTGCCCTGCCATCACCTATCTGTGTATCTACACTGTTGAATGAATGCAGTCTGACTGCTGTGTTTCAATACTATCTAATCGTGGGAGTTATAGTTTAGCAGAATGTGTAGCATACTTTGCTAAAGAGTCCTGGTGCTTCCCAGTTAAGCCTCCAAGGTGTCATTTCATGCAAAAAACAACAACTTTCTAAATAAGCACCATGCAATTAAACAGGAAATGACACTTTCAAAGCAGAAACATAAAATTGTTATATAGTGTTATTATTATGTATTTATTTACATACTAGCCGTCCCCTGCCATGCGTTGCTGTGGCCCACTCTGGTGGTCATGGGGGAGGTGTGGCCCAATTCTATCGTTGGTGGGGTCCAGAATGCTCTGTGATTGTAGGTGAACTATAAATCCCAGCAACTACAACTCCCAAATGTCAAGATTCTATTTTCCCCAAACTCCACCAGTGTTCACATTTGGGTGTATTGAGTATTCTTGTAGAGTTTGGTCCAGATCCATCATTGTTTGAGTCCACAGTGATCTCTGGAGGTAGGTAGGCATTGACCTTGAGTTTGGGAGTTGTAGTTCACCTACATCCAGAGAGCACTGTGGACTCAAACGACTCCAAAACCAAAGGACACTGCCCACCAAACCCTTCCAGTATTTTCTGTTGGTCATGGGAGAAGTGTGTGCAAAGTTTGGTCCAATTCTATTGTCAATGGGGTTCAGAATGCTCTTTGATTGTAGGTGAACTATATATCCCAGCAACTAAAACTTCCAAATGACAAAATCTTTTTTTTTTTTAGTGAAGGACATACATTGGACTGTTAGGTGTCTTGTGTCCAAATTTGGTGTCAATTCCCCCAGTGGTTTTTGAGTTCTGTGAATACCACAAACGAACATGACATTTTTATTTATATAGATTTATTTATTTACATAGTAGAAGGAATGCCCAGCAAGTTTTAAGCATGAATTTTAAACCTGTGCCCTTTGTTACATCTCTGTTTTGTGTATTTTCCTATGTGTTTTATAGAAATACGTTTTGATATTTGTCTTTTATAGAAATACATTTTTAATATGTGTATTTGTGGGATATTTACAATGTTGATGTGTTTTGATTCTTCCGTAACTCACTTTGACCCACAAGGAGAGGTGCGTAAGAAATAAAATAGTTATTGGGTTGTTGTAGGTTTTTTCGGGCTATAGCTAAACTTCCTACACAGAACCCCCATGACCAATAGAACATATTGTGTTGTTGTAGGTTTTTTCGGGCTATATGGCCATGTTCTAGAGGCATTCTCTCCTGACGTTTCGCCTGCATCTATGGCAAGCATCCTCAGAGGTAGTGAGGTCTGTTGGAAGTAGGAAAAAGGGTTTATATATCTGTGGAATGACCAGGGTGGGACAAAGGACTCTTGTCTGCTGGAGCTAGGTGTGAATGTTTCAACTGACCACCTTGATTAGCATATAATGGCCTGACAGTGCCTGGAGCAAACTTTTGTTGAGAGGTGATTAGATGTCCTTGTTTGTTTCCTCTCTGTTGTTGTGCTGTTGTAATTTTAGAGTTGTAATTTTAATCATATGGCAACATAATCACCTCTCAACAAAAGTTTGCTCCAGGCACTGTCAGGCCATTATATGCTAATCAAGGTGGTCAGTAGAAACATTCCCCTAGCTCCAGCAGACAAGAGTCCTTTGTCCCACCCTGGTCATTCCACAGATATATAACCCTTTTTCCTAGTTCCAACAGACCTCACTACCTCTGAGGATGCTTGCCATAGATGCAGGCGAAACGTCAGGAGAGAATGCCTCTAGAACATGGCCATATAGCCCCAAAAAACCTACAACAACCCAGTGATTCCGGCCATGAAAGCCTTCGACAATACATTCAAAATAGTTGTTGTAATTATTATAATTATCAATTTTGGGAACTAATTTAACTACCATGGCTCAGCACTATGGAATCCTGGGAATTGTAGTTTGATGCCTTCTAACAACAACAACAACAACAACAACAACACTTTATTTATTTGGTTTTATATTTATATTTGGTTTTATATTTAAATTAACTGTTTTAATTGTATTTTATGTCTTTGATGCTGACTGTAAACCACCCTGAGTCGCCTGAGAGGGGCGGTATATAAATATAGTATATAAATATAGTAAACAAATAAATATTTCTATTCTGCTCTTCTCCCTGAGGGGACTCAGAGCAGATTACAGTATATAATCAGAGACAGGTAAACATTTAATGCCTTGTTATCTATATAAATAAAAATGTAATGTTTGTTTTTGGGATTAATATAACTCAAAAACCACTGGATGAATCAACACCAAATTTGGACACTGCACCCTTAGCAGACCAACAAGTGACCATCACCATAAAAACATGGAAAAACACAATGGAAGAGACTTTAAAAACCAAAAAAAAATACATTACAATCATAGAATCAAAGAGTTGGAAGAGACCTCATGGGCCATCATCTAGTCCAACCCCATTCTGCCAAGAAACAGGAATGTTGCATTCAAATCACCCCTGACAGATGGCCATCCAGCCTCTGTTTAAAAGCTTCCAAAGAAGGAGCCTCCACCACACTCCAGGGCAATGCATGCACAAAACCACACATATACAAATATACACAAATATAGACACACAAAACACATATATACAGATTTGGCCACAGCAACACATGGCAGGGAAGGCTAGTAATGAAACACAATGAAACACAAATACACAGACAAAGGCAAAGGCTTCTCCTTTCATTTCCGGCTCTTGGGGAGGTGTCCATTCTCCATTTCCAAGCTGAAGAGCCTGCATTGTCTATAGACACCTGCTGGTCTTGTGGCCAGCTTGACTGATTGGAGCGTCTTTTTGCCCTCCCGATCCACCCGCCACACTATGTCTCACCCCCTTTGTGCCGTTCCCCACTGCTTACCGGTAAAGGTGGTTGATCAGGGCTTTGACGGTGGCTCGGTTGACCCACGGAAGGCCATTCAACAGCCTCCGATACCGGGAAACCTTCTCTTTCTCATCCTCAAGGGCTGGGGAGGCAGGCGAGAAAAGAAAATAACACAAAGGATAGCAAGGAAAGTAGGTACAAGGGTTGAATGAAAAGTAATGCCTCCACCTTTGTTACTTGGGTTTGGATGGGAATATTTTAATAAATCAAATGCAGAAATAATCCTCAGAATGTGCTCTTTAACTACCACTATTCACTTTTCTACATAATCACCAGACAATTGGATACATTTCTGCCAAGGATGAACAAGTTTTCTGAAGCCGTCACAGAAGAAGTCGACACTCTGTTTCCGCAACCAGCGTCTCACCGTTCTCTCAACGTCTTCATCAGAAGCATCATGATGTCCCCGCAGATCTTCTTTCATTATTGGGAACAGATGGAAGTCAGACGGAGCTAAATTTGGACTTTGTGGAGGATGTCTGGTGAGATCCAGTCTCTGAAGTTTCAAGTCTGTGTGCTTTCAGCATCCTGGGTACCCATCGTGCACAGATCTTCCGATAGCCAAGCAAAGCAATAATGTGACTCACACGTTCTTGTGAAATGCCAATTACGCTTGAAATTTCTCTCTGAGTGATACGACAATTGTCCTGAATCAATCTGTCAACCTTTTGCTTGTGAAACTCGGTGGTTGCTGTCACAGGACGTCCAACTCTTTGTTTTCACCCAAGTCAGATGCTGCCACCTCAACATCTTTTAACTTACTTGCCCAACAACGCACAGTACTCACATCAACACAATCCCCATAAACAGCTTGCATTCGCTGATGAATCTCCTTTGGGGTGACACCGTCTGCTGTCAAGAGTTCAACGACTGCACGTTGCTTAAGTCGCATTGACCGACCGTCTGCGCAGGGTTCCATACTTTGCACTTTAAGAACACAACCATTCAATGCTAAGGCTTCCCTTCAAAATGGAACTGTAGAGGAGAGTCTACTGAACAAGCCAGTACCTGCCGCATATCAGTACTGCCATCTGTTGAGGACTTTAGGTGGAGGCATTACTTTTCATTCAACCCTAGTATGTACTAGCAATGTTCCCCTATTTCTTGACTTGCATCCCATACACTTCTAAGAATTCAATGCTTTTTTGGTTCTGTGCATTTTTGAAGCATGTTTTCCCTGGTGTGAGAGCCTTCCAAAACAATACAGCTGGACTTCTTTTGCGCCAGATTCACCTATGGAATTAGAACCCAGGGTGGACTTACCGGGGACTTTGAGCCAGGCCTGAGAGCATTCCTTGGTGAAGAGCCCATCTCCAATGTCGCGGAAGAAGCGCTTGAGGGTATTGGCCACATCGTCCACTTGGTGCTCACCTTCCTTCAGCCGGACCTTGCGGGCATCTCTCCGCAGCATCTCCAGCAGGCCGGTGGTCTTGGAGTTCTGGCCACTCTTTCGGTAGAGCCCCTCCGAGGTCAGCCCTGGAGGAGACCCACAGAGAGAAAGACAGGGTTCGAAGGGGTCCCGAAGACCTTCTAGTCCAGTGGTTCTCAACCTTCGGGATGCCGTGGCCCCTTGATACAGTTCCTCATGTTGTGGTGACCCCACAACCATAACATTATTTTCGCTGCTACTTCAGAACTGTACTACTGTTTTGCTACTGTTATGAATCGTGATGTAAATACCTGATATGTCATGCTCCCCAGGCTCTAATCTGCCTTGGTTAGAACACAGCTGGAATGTTGTGTCCAATTCTGGGCACCACAATTCAAGAGAGACATTGACAAGCTGGAATGTGTCCAGAGGAGGGCGACTCAAATGATCAAGGGTCTGGAGAATCATAGAATCCTAGAGTAGGAAGAGACCTCATGGGCCATCCAGTCCAACCCCATTCTGCCAAGAAGCAGGAATATTGCATTCAAATCACCCCTGACAGATGGCCATCCAGCCTCTGTTTAAAAGCTTCCAAAGAAGGAGCCTCCACCACACTCAGGGCAGAGAGTTCCACTGCTGAACGGCTCTCACAGTCAGGAAGTTCTTCCTCATGTTCAGATGGAATCTCCTCTCTTGTAGTTTGAAGCCATTGTTCCATTGCGTCCTAGTCTCCAAGGAAGCAGAAAGCAAGCTTGCTCCCTCCTCCTCCCTGTGGCTTCCTCTCACATATTTATACATGGCTATCATATCTCCTCTCAGCCTTCTCTTCTTCAGGCTAAACATGTCCAGCTCCTTAAGCCACTCCTCATAGGGCTTGTTCTCCAGACCCTTGATCATTTTAGTCGCCCTCCTCTGGACACATTCCAGCTTGTCAATATCTCTCTTGAATTGTGGTGCCCAGAATTGGACACAATATTCCAGGTGTGGTCTAACCAAGGTGAAAGGGGTAGCATTACTTCCCTAGATCTAGACACTATGCTCCTATTGATGCAGGCCAAAATCCCATTGGCTTTTTTGCCGTCACATCACATTGTTGGCTCATGTTTAACTTGTTGTCCATGAGGACTCCAAGATCACCAGCCCTATGAGGAGCGGCTTAAGGAGCTGGGCATGTTTAGCCTGAAGAAGAGAAGGCTGAGAGGAGATATGATAGCCATGTATAAATATGTGAGAGGAAGCCACAGGGAGGAGGGAGCAAGCTTGTTTTCTGCTTCCCTGGAGAGTAGGACGCAATGGAACAATGGCTTCAAACTACAAGAGAGGAGATTCCATCTGAACATGAGGAAGAACTTCCTGACTGTGAGAGCCGTTCAGCAGTGGAACTCTCTGCCCCGGAGTGTGGTGGAGGCTCCTTCTTTGGAAGCTTTTAAACAGGGGCTGGATGGCCATCTGTCATGTATTTTCATTCACTGGACCAAATTTGGCACAAATACCCAATACGCCCACATTTGAATGCTAGTGGGGTTGGGGTGGATTGATTTTGTCATTTGGGAGTTATAGTTACTGGGATTTATAGTTCACCTGCAATCATTCTGAACTCCACCAATGATGGAATTAAACCAAACTTGCCACACTGAACTCCCATGACCAAGAGAAAATACTGGAAGAGTTTGGTGGGCATTGACCTTGAGTTCTGGAGTTGTAGTTCACCTACATCTGGAGAGCACTGTGGACTCAAACAATAATAGATCTGGACCAAACTTGGCACAAATCCTCAATATGCCCAAATGTGAACACTGGTGGAGTTTGGGGAAAATAGATCATGACATTTGGGAGTTGTACTAATTGCTGGGATTTATAGTTCACCTAGAATCAAAGAGCGCTCTGAATCACACCACCGATAGAAATGGGCCAGACGTCCCACACAGAATCCCCATAACCAACAGAAAATACTGAAGGGATTTTGGATGAACCGATGGTGATTTAGGGGAGATGTAGTTCACCTACATCTAGAGAGCACTGTGAACCCAAACGACTATGCCAAAGGGATTCTTAAGACCATCAGAAATATGTGTTTTCTAATGGTCTTTGGCGACCCCTCTGAAACCCAACTGACCCCCAGGTTGAGAAACACTGTTCTAGTCCAACCCTGTTCAGCTGGGCAGGAAAACCACCATCAAAGCATAATAAAAAGAACTACATAACGCCGGAACCAGAAACTTTCTTATTGGTACGTGTAGACTAACAAATCCCTAACTCTAACCCTAACCCTAACTCTGGGAATTTTCTGGTAGCAATTCAGGCCCTCTTCCAGGAACTCTCCCATCATCCTGGAAAGAAGTGATGAGTGGAGTGCCACAAGCAGAGTTCCGTCCTGGGCCCGGTCCTGTTCAACATCTTTATTAATGACATAGATGAAGGGCTAGAAGGCAGGATCATCACGTTTGCAGACGACACCAAATTGGGAGGGAGAGCCAAGACTCCAGAGGACAGGAGCAGGATTCCAAACGATCTTGACAGATTAGAGAGATGGGCCAAAACTAACAAAATGAAGTTCAACAGGGACAAATGCAAGATACTCCACTTTGGCAGGAAAAACGAAATGCAAAGATACAGAATGGGGGACACCTGGCTTGAGAGCAGGACGTGTGAAAAAGATCTTGGAGTCCTCGTGGACAACAAGTTAAACATGAGCCAACAATGTGATGTGGCGGCAAAAAAAGCCAATGGGATTTTGGCCTGCATCAATAGGAGCATAGTGTCTAGATCTAGGGAAGTCATGCTACCCATGCTCTATTCGGCTTTGGTTAGACCACACCTGGAATATTGTGTCCAATTCTGGGCACCACAATTCAAGAGAGATATTGACAAGCTGGAATGTGTCCAGAGGAGGGCGACTCAAAGGATCAAGGGTCTGGAGAATCATAGAATCAAAGAGTTGGAAGAGACCTCATGGCCATCCAGTCCAACCCCATTCTGCCAAGAAGCAGGAATATTGCATTCAAATCACCCCTGACAGATGGCCATCCAGCCTCTGTTTAAAAGCTTCCAAAGAAGGAGCCTCCACCACACTCCGGGGCAGAGAGTTCCACTGCTGACTCTCACAGTCAGGAAGTTCTTCCTCATGTTCAGATGGAATCTCCTTTCTTGTAGTTTGAAGCCATTGTTCCACTGCATCCTAGTCTCCAGGGCAGCAGAAAACAAGCTTGCTCCCTCCTCCCTGTGACTTCCTCTCACATATTTATACATGGCTATCATGTCTCCTCTCAGCCTTCTCTTCTTCAGGCTAAACATGCCCAGCTCCTTAAGCCGCTCCTCACAGGGCTTGTTCTCCAGACCCTTGATCATTTTAGTCGCCCTCCTCTGGACACATTCCAGCTTGTCAATATCTCTCTTGAATTGTGGTGCCCAGAATTGGACACAATATTCCAGGTGTGGTCTAACCAAAGCGGAATAGAGCATGGGTAGCATGACTTCCCTAGATCTAGACACTAGGCTCCTCTTGATGCAGGCCAAAATCCCATTGGCTTTTTTTGCCGTCACATCACATTGTTGGCTCATGTTTAACTTGTTGTCCACGAGGACTCCAAGAGAACAAGCCCTATGAGGAGCGGCTTAAGGAGCTGGGCATGTTTAGCCTGAAGAAGAGAAGGCTGAGAGGAGACATGATAGCCATGTATAAATATGTGAGAGGAAGTCACAGGGAGGAGGGAGCAAGCCTGTTTTCTGCTTCCTTGGAGACTAGGACGCATTGGAGGAATGGCTTCAAACTACAAGAGTGGAGATTTCATCTGAACATGAGGAAGAACTTCCTGACTGTGAGAGCCGTTCAGCAGTGGAACTCTCTACCTCGGAGTGTGGTGGAGGCTCCTTCTTTGGAAGCTTTTAAGCAGAGGCTGGATGGCCATCTGTCAGGGGTGATTTGAATGCAATATTCCTGCTTCTTGGCAGAATGGGGTTGGACTGGATGGCCCAGGAGGTCTCTTCCAACTCTTTGATTCTAGGATTCTATGATTCTATCCCCAAACTCTTCAGGAACATTCTCATCAGCAAAGACACTTTGAACGGGAATCCCATTGTCATTCTCTGCCTCTAAAGCACCCTCATAATTAAAAACAGCATTGTCATTCCCATCATCCAGAGTACCCTGATCATTAGACACAATCACAGGCTGAATTCCAACAGCCATTCTGCACAATGCTCGATGTTCAGACAGAGATCCAAAACAGCCTCTCTTGAGAGATCAAATCTCAGCGCCTTCGGGCTGAGAACAGCGGTATATAAGTAAAGTAAATAAATAAATAAATAAATATAATTACAGAACCCTAAGCAAGTTGGAAGGGGTCCCCCAGGGGGCATCTAGTCCAACCCATAGCTCATGGCAGCATCTCCGCATTAAATATCCCCAGCAGTCTCGCTTCTTTCTCTTTGGAGACATCCAGAGAAGGAAACCTGGATGCACATCCCTTCTTTTGCATCACGCTAAAGCAGTGTTTCTCAACTTTCCAAATGCCGCGACCCCTTAACACAGTTCTTCATGTTCTGGTGACCCCCAACCATAAAATTATTTCCGTTCCTGTTTCACAACTGCAATTTTGCTACTGTTATGAATCGTAATGAAAATACCAGATATGCAGGATGTATTTTCAATCACTGGACCAAATTTGGCACAAATATCCAATATGCCCAAATTTTAATACTGGTGGAGTTGGGGAGGGGGGAGGAATCAATTTTGTCATTTGGGAGTTGTAGTTGCTGAGATTTATAGTTCACCTACAATCAAAGAGCATTCTGAACTCCACCAACAATAGAATTAAACCAGTCTTGGCACAGAGAATTCCCACAACCAAGAGAAAATATTGGAAGGGTTTGGTGGGCATGGTCCTTGAGTTTTGGAGTTGTAGTTCACCTACATCCAGAGAGCACTGTGGACTCAAACAATGATAGATCTGGACCAAACTTGGCACGAATACTCAATATGCCCAAATGTGAACACTGGTGGAGTTTGGGGAAAATAGACCTTGACATTTGGGAGTTGTAGTTGCTGGGATTTATAGTTCACCTACAATCAAAGAACATTCTGAACCCCACCAACGATAGAATTGGGCCAAACTCCCCGCACAGAATGCCCATGACCAACAGAATATACTGTTTTCTGATAGTCTTTGGTGACCCCTCTGACACCCCCTCGTGACCCCCTCAGGGGTCCCAACCCCTTGGTTGAGAAACAGTGTGCTAAAGTCATAAGGGCAGCCTTCCTTCTCCCTACATACCGCATTGCGTGATGTAATCGATGCACCGGTCCACGATGACTGGAACGTCAGTGTCCGTGAGCTGCTGTTCGGACAAAGTGTCGCCAGAGCTCCCAGCGGCCTTCTGGATGGCGGCCACCCATCCTAAGAAGTCCAGTTTCCTCTCGCCTTGGATGTACAGCGTCCTGAAATCAAGCCAGAATATGGGGCACAAACTTGACACACATACCTGATATGCCAAAATGTACACAGACAGGCTCCCACTTCCACAAACAGCGAGAGCTCCCACCACTCAGGAGACACCAATGAGGAGCGCCATGAGCATGCCCAAGCGTCCTCCACCAACACCATACTGCCCACCACCCAAGTGAAGGCTTTCATACAGGGACCATTTCATTTTATGTGTTTCCTCCACCACAGACATCCCAGTGTTTCTGACTCTCTCCATTGGTGTGGAATTTGTATAACCCCGCCCACTGTCTCTCCCTTAACCCTTTCTATGGCACACAGCAACTGGACATACTAGAGAGGTTTGGGGAGAATTTACCATGATTTATAGGAGTTGTAGTTACTGGGATGTATAGTTCACCTGCAATCAGTGAGCACTCTGAACTCTACCAAATTGGAATTGGACACCATGCCCAGCAAAAAATACTGGAGGTCTTTGGGAGAAATTCACCTTGTTTTGAGGAAGTTGTAGTTCACCTGCATCCAGAGAGCACTGTGAACCCAAACACCGATGGATCTGGACCAAACTTGGTTCACAGACCTTATATCCTGAAATTTAATTACTGGAAGGGTTTGGGGAAAACTGACCTTCCTTTCTGGGAGTTGTAGTTCACCCACAACCGGAGAAATTATGACTTCCACCAATGATGGATCTGGACCAAACTTGGCACACATACCTGATACGCTGAAATTTGATTACTGGAGGGGTTTGGGGAAAACTGACCTTCCTTTCTGGGAGTTATAGTTCACCCACAACCAGAGAAATTATGACCTCCACCGATGATGGATCTTAACCAAACTTGGCACACAGAACCCCCATGACTAACTCAACCTACTGGAGGGGTTTGAGGGGACTGACTCACCATAGTGGGAGTTGTAGTTCACCCTACAGCCAGAGAGCACACTGAATGCCACCAATGATGCATCTGAACCTGGGGATTGGGATCCCTAGGGGGGTCGCAAGGGGATGTCAAGAGGGGTCACCAAAGACCATCTCAAAACATAATATTTTCTGTTGGTCATGGGGGTTCTGTGTGGGATGTTTGGCCCAATTCTATTGTTGGTGGGGTTCAAAATGCTTTATGATTGTAGGTGAACTATAAATCTCAGCAACTACAACTCCCAAATGTCAAGATTTGTTTCCCCAAACTCCCCCAGTGTTTAAATTTGGGCATATTGTGTATTCGCGCCAAGTTCGGTCCAGACCCTTCATTGTTTGAGTCCACAGTTCTCTCTGGAAGTAGGTGAACTACAACTCTAAAACTCAAGGTCAATGACCACCAAACCCTTCCAGTATTTACTGTTTGTCATGGGAGTCTGTGAACCAAGTTTGGTTCAATTCCATCATTTCTGGAGCTCAGAATGCTCTTTGATTGTAGGTGAACTATAAATCCCAGCAACTACAACTCTCAAATGCCAAAATCAACCCTTTTGGTCTCCCCAGTTTTGTACCATATTTAACTCTGTATCTGAGGAAGGAAGAAGCATGTTTACCTTCTTCTCTCCACCAGCACAAGGACCTCATTGTCACCTTGGATGGCTGCAAATAGAAACAGCATTAATTAATATTTAATTGCAATTTCCAGTTGAATATATGTGAATTTATGTGCATATGTGTTCCTCTGAGGCTGAGAGAGTATGACCCGCCCACGGAGGAAACAAAGGCAGACACTCACAGAGTTCTTGCAGCTTCCGCAGGTGAATGGCCTCCTCCTTCTCGCTGTTTTCCAGGTAAGCATACAAAGTGGACTGCTCCAGGGCAAACCAGCCCTCCTTGGCCCGCTCCAGGTTCAGGCCGCCCTTGTAGTGCAGACGCCCGAGGCGCTCAAAGTCGTGGCTCAGCAGACCCTCGGCCACGAGAGGCAGGAAAGACTGGCCAGGAAAGACAAACAGAGTTGGAAAACTCTCCAGAGATCATCTTGGAGAGTTGTAGAAGCACAGAATCCTAGAGTTGGGAGGGACCCCCAGAGGCCATCCAATCCAACCCCATTCAGATACTAATCCCTAAAGTCCCTTGCATTTACTAATCACAGATGTACTCATAGCAAACGACACCTAAGATTCCCAGAGTTGGAAGGGACCCCCAGAGGCCATCCAACCCAACCCCATTCAGATAGTAATGCTGCAAGCTGCCTTAGGTCTTACACTGGAGGATAAAATGTTATGAATTATTATTATTATTATTATTATTATTATTATTATTATTAAATAAATTTGCAAAAATGAATGAATGAATACATAAATAAAAGGGCAGAATTGCAGAAGATAGGAAGGATCAATGGCTGAGGCTGTGAACACCTGCTTTAAAGTTGTGGGTACCTGCTTTAAAGTTCTGACTAAAACCCAGAACGGATTTACTAAATGACTGATGTGGAAACAGTAAGCAACTCCTCCTTTGCAACACTCAAGATTTATCCAAATTGTATGCCTCACCTTTGCGATGCATTTGACCCACTCCTTGATGCCTTCGGGGTTGTCCAGCCCAAAGAGGTAGAGTCTCTCCGATTCTACGTAGACCTCAAAAGTGCTTGAGAATCTGCAATGGGACAAAAATCAGAAAATTCTGAAAAATAATAGCAAGTAGGAAGGATCCACTTTGCAGGTCTTTAAACAGAGGTCAAACAGGAGTCATTTAGTGGGTCATTGTAGGTTTTTTTCGGGCTATATGGCCATGGTCTAGAGGCATTCTCTCCTAATGTTTTGCCTGCATCTATGGCAAGCATCCTCAGAGGTAGTGAGGTCTGTTGGAACTAGGAACTAGGAGTCATTTAGTTCTGTATTCCAGCTGGCAGAATGGGATTGGTCTAGATGACCTTTGGAGTCCCCATTCCGACTATACTTGATTATGGATGACTTCGTAGGGCCGTGGGCTCTCCTTCCTTAGAGATCTTTCAGGAGTGATTTAATTTTGCATTCCTGCATAGTTGGTGTTGGACTAGATGATCTTTGGGGTTCCTTTCCAATTATAGTGGATTGGGTTGTTGTAGGTTTTTTCAGACTATATGGCCATGTTCTAGAAGCGTTCTCTCCTGACGTTTTGCCTGCATCTATGGCAAGCATCCTCAGAGGTCGTGAGGTCTGTTGGAACTAGGAAAAAGGGGTTTATATATCTGTGGAATGACCAGGGTGGGACAAGGGACTCTTGTCTGCTGGAGCTAGGTGTGAAGGTTTCAACTGACCACCTTGATTGGCATATAATGGCCTGACAGTGCCTGGAGCACTTCGTGGCTTGTTCATGGTCTTGCAGTTCTTATTTATTTATTTACAGTTTTTATATTCCACCCTTCTCAACCCGCAGGGGACTCAGGGCGGATCACAATGCACATATCCATGGCAAACATTCAATGCCATAGGCACACCACATATATAGGCAGACACACAGAGGCTATTTAGAGTCCATTTCTTAAGTTGCAAGCAGTAAGTGCTGCAGGGATCAATGCAGCAGGGAGTGAGCCAAACCACCTGGCCAACATTGAGTATTGAAAAGAATCTGTGAACCCCACTTCCTCCAAGATGAACTGAACCACCTCAACTGGGCTCTCCAGGCCAATGGATATTCCACCTCAGACATCAGGAGAGCTGCAAGACCAAGAACAAGCCACAGGAGTCAAGATGAAAATCCACCCAGAGGAAAAGTGTTCCTGCCATACATCAAGGGAACCACTGACCGCAGAGGGAAGCTGAGGAGGAAACACAACCTACAAACGATCTCCAGACCCACCAAGAAAATCCAACCAATGCTACGTTCAGCAAAGGACAAGAGGGATCCTCTCACTTCTGCAGGAGTCTACCGTATACCATGCAGCTGTGGACAAGTCTACAGTTGTTGTTGTTCATTCGTTCAGTCGTCTCCGACTCTTCGTGACCTCATGGACCAGCCCACGCCAGAGCTCCCTGTCGGCCGTTACCCCCAGCTCCCTCAAGGTCAGTCCAGTCACTTCAAGGATGCCATCCATCCATCTTGCCCTTGGTCGGCCCCTCTTCCTTTTTCCTTCCACTTTCCAGCATCATTGTCTTCTCTAGGCTTTCCTGTCTCCTCATGATGTGGCCAAAGTACTTCAACTTTGTCTCTAGTATCTCCTTCCCTCCAGTGAGCAGTCGGGCTTTATTTCCTGGAGGATGGACTGGTTGGATCTTCTCGCAGTCCAAGGCTCTCTCAGCACTTTCCTCCAACACCACAGCTCAAAAGCATCTCTCTTCCTTCGCTCAGCCTTCCCTAAGGTCCAGCTCTCACATCCGTAGGTGACTACAGGGAATACCATGGCTTTGACTAGGCGGATCTTTGTTGCCAGTCTGATGTCTCTACTCTTTACTATTTTATCGAGATTGGACCTTGCTCTCCTCCCAAGAAGTAAGCGTCTTCTGATTTCCTGGCCACAGTCTGCATCTGCACTCATCTTTGCACCTAGAAATACAAAGTCTGTCATGGCCTCCACGGTTTCTCCCTCTATTTTCCAGTTGTCAATCATTCTTGTTGCCATAATCTTGGTTTTTTTGATGTTTAGCTGCAACCCGGCTTTTGCGCTTTCTTCTTTCACCTTGATTAGAAGGCTCCTCAGCTCCTCCTCGCTTTCGGCCATCAGAGTGGTGTCATCTGCATATCTGAGGTTGTTAATGTTTCTTTCCTAGCAATTTTCACCCCAGCTTTGCATTCATCAAGGCCCGCACATCGCATGATTTGTTCTGCATACAAGTTGAAAAGGTTGGGTGAGAGTATGCAGCCTTGCCGTACGCCTTTCCCAATCTTGAACCAGTCTGTTGTTCCGTGGTCAGTTCTGACTGTTGCTCCTTGGTCCTTGCACAGATTCCTCAGGAGAGAGGGAAGGGGGCTTGGGATGCCCATCCCACCAAGAACTTGCCACCATTTATTATGATCCACACAGTCAAAGGCTTTAGATAGTCAATGAAGCAGAAATAGATGTTTTTCTGAAACTCCCTGCCTTTCTCCATTATCCAGCATCCGGATATTGGCAATCTGGTCTCTCGTTCCTCTGCCTTTTCTAAACCCAGCTTGAACATCTGGCAACTCTCGCTCCATGTCTTGCTGGAGTCTTCCTTGCAGGATCTTGAGCATTACCTTACTGGCATGAGAAATAAGGGCCACTGTACGGAAGTTTGAGCAGTCTTTCGCATTTCCCTTTTTTGATATGGGGATATAAGTTGATTTTTCCAGTCTGATGCCCATTCTTGTGTTTTCCATGTTTGCTGGCATATGGCATGAATCACCTTGACAGCATCATCTTTCAAGATTTTAAACAGTTCAGCTGGGATCCCGTTGTCTCCTGCTGCCTTGTTGTTAGCAATGCTTCTTAAGGCCCATTCAACCTCACTCCTCAGAATGTCTGGTTCTAATTCATTCACCACACCGTCAAAACTATCCTCAATATTATTATCCTTCCTATACAGATCTTCTGTATAGTCTCGCCACCTTCTCTTGATCTCTTCAGCTTCTGTTAGGTCCCTGCCATCTTTGTTTCTTATCATACCAATTTTTGCCTGAAATTTACCTCCAATGTTTCTAATTTTCTGGAAGAGTCTCTTGTCCTTCCTATTCTGTTGTCTTCCTCCACTTCCATGCATTGCTTATTTAAAAATAGTTCCTTATCTCTTCTGGCTAACCTCTGGAATTGCGCATTTAACTGGGCATATCTCCCCTTATCCCTGTTTCCTTTTGCTTTCCTCCTTTCTTGGGCTACTTCCAGTGTCTCAGCAGACAACCATTTTGCCTTCTTGGTTTTCTTTTTCTTTGGGACGTACTTTGTTGCCGCCTCCTGAACAATGTCGCGGACTTCTGTCCATAGTTCTTCTGGGACTCTGTTTACTAAATCTAGTCCTTCAAATCTGTTCTTCACTTCCACTGTATATCCGCTAGGAATGTTAGTGAGATCATATCTAACTGGTCTGTGTATTTTCCCTCATCTCTTTAGTTTTATTCTAAATTGGGCAATAAGAAGTTCGTGATCTGAGCTACAGTCAGCCCCAGGTCTTGTTTTCACCGACTGGATGGATGTCCGCCACCTTTGGCTGCAAAGGATGTAGTCAATCTGATTTCGGTGTTGACCGTCTGGTGAGGTCCATGTATAAAGCCGTCTTTTAGGTTGTTGGAAGAGAGTATTCGTTATACACAGCGAGTTTTCCTGGCAAAATTCTATCAGCCTGCGTCCCGCTTCATTTTGTTCTCCCAGACCATGCTTGTCTGTGATCGCTGTTGTCATTTGACTTCCCACCTTGGCATTCCAGTCTCCTGTAATGAAAATAATGTCTCTTTTTGGTGTATTATCCAGTAGGTCCTGCAGATCCTCATAGACTGATCTACTTCTGCTTCTTCAGCAGCTGTGGTTGGGGCGTATATTTGGATCACTGTGATGTTGAAAGGCTTTCCTTGCACTCGAATTGAGATCATTCTGTCATTTTTTGGGTTGTATCCAAGCACAGCTTTAGCTAATTTCTTATTAATTATGAAGGCTACTCCATTTCTTCGATGTTCCTCTTGTCCGCAGTAGTAGATCTGGTGGTCATCTGATGTGAAGTGGCCCATTCCAGTCCATTTCAGTTTCGCTGACCCCCAGAATGTCTATCTTTAGTCTTGACATCTCACCAATAACAACATCCAGTTTGCCCTGGCTCATAGATCTTACATTCCAGGTTCCTATGGTGTGTTGATCTTTAGAGCATCGGATTCGTCGTTCACCTCCAGTACCGTCGGCCGCTAGCCTTCCTTTCGGCTTTGAGCTCGCTGCGTCATCACATCTGGGGCTAGTTGAACTTATCCTCTGCTCCTCCCCAGTAGCATTTTGGCCATCTTCCGACCTGGGAGTCCCATCTTCCAATGGCATACCGACATATCTCTGGTTGTACTGGTCCATTTAGTTTTCTTGGCAAGGATACTGGAGTGGTTTGCCATTGCTTCCCCAGTCTACAGAGGGACCACCAAACACAGCATTGCCCAAACAAGAATCCAGGAACATGAAAGGCACTGCAAACTACTCCAACCAGAGAAATCAGCCATAGCAGAGCACCTGATGAACCAGCCTGGACACAGCATTTTATTTTAGAACACAAAAATGCTGGACCACTCTCACAACCACCATGTCAGGCTACACAGAGAAGCCATTGAAATCCACAAGCATGTGGACAATTTCAACAGAAAGGAAGAAACCATGAAAATGAACAAAATCTGGCTACCAGTATTAAAAAATTCTAAAATTGCAACAGCAAAAACAGCAGAGAGAAAAACAGGCAGGGACATCTAATCACCTTTCAAGAAGAGTTTGCTCCAGGCACAGTCAGCCCATTGTATGCTAATCAAGGTGGTCAGTGGAAAGACTCACATCCAGCCCAACTTACAAAAGGCCTTTGTCTCACCCTGGTCATTCCACAGATATATAAACCCCTTTTTTCCCAGTTCCAGCAGACCTCACCTCTGAGGATGCTTGCCATAGATGCAGGCGAAACGTCAGGAGAAATGCCTCTAGAACATGGCCACATAGCCCGAAAAAACCCACAAGAACCAACATTGAGTAGTTACAGCCAGGGTGGGGCAGCTGCAGGGGAAATAAAGGAACCAAAGTACAACTCCTTTGAGTGGGTTGTTGGAGGTTGGTCTTGGAGTAGATTGTTGCTGGAGCTGGATTGTTTGAGACGTACGTTTGGAGGAGTTTGCTGGAAGGAGTTTGGAGTTTTACAAGGCTTGTGTCTCAAAGAGAACATCTGGACCCTGTATGTACTGTATATATGTTCTTTTATAAAGTGTGCAGAAGACAACAACTTGTTTGTTCCTTGGTCAAAGGCAAAAGTCTTCCGCATCTGTGAGTGTCTGCATTCATCTTCATCGTAACAACACAGAGGCTATTCAGCTTTCCAGCTTCGTATTCTGGCCACCGGGGGAGCTGTCGCTTCACCATCCACTTGTGACACCAATGGAGTACTTCCTCATTCTTTTGCACGCTGCTGGAGATTTTTATGGTATCGTAAATTAGTTAAATTAGCCTCCCTGCATAAGTGGTATTTATTTATTTATTTATTTATTTATTTATTTATTTATTTATTTATTTACAGTATTTATATACCGCTTTTCTCACCCCTAAGGGGACTCAAAGCAGTTAATACTCAAACGTAAATTTCCTACTTGACAGATGCAACTGTCTTTCGGGCTGCATAGGTCAACAGCGAGCTGCACAAATGGTCGGGAGCTTACTCTGACCCAGGTTGGGTTTGAACTCATTACCTTTCGGTCAGTAGTGATTTTAATGCAGCTGACTCCCAACCAGCTGCGCCACAACCCGGTCCTCTTCTGATGTCTATCATAGAATACATTCCCATTGGCTTTTAGAGCCCGGTTTAGGTGGTTCAGTTCACCTTGGAGAAGGTGGGGTTTGCAAATTCTTTTTGCACGGTCTTCCAGGGCTTTAATTTCCCTTTTTTATTTTACCTGGGTGATGGTTGGAGTTTTTATGTAGGTATCTATTAGTGTACATGGGTTTTCTGTAAACTGTGTGGCCTGATTCTTTAAATAATTCAGTTTCTATACTATCGGATGCTGGGAGTTGAGGCTTGGTGAGGCCCTAGTCCTCTTTAGCAGAGGAAGCTAAATACCTTGTAAAACTACAATTCCCATAGCATTGAGCAAAGGCAGTTCAAGTGGGGTCGAACTGCATCAATTATAGAGTGCAGATGGACTCTTTGTGCATCCAAGGTGCATTCAAGAGGCGGACCCTTACCCATGCGCATCGAGGGGGTTGTTCACGACAGACACGATCTCTTGAACCCGCATCTCTCCGTTGGGGACGGTGCTGGTGTTGCTCTCATAGTAGCCGAAGATGCCGTCATGGAGGTGGCACCAGCGGCGGCTGAATTCTGCAAAAAGGGAGAAATAGGACAGCAGTGAACCCAAACAAGGAATGAAATGTGCTTCAAAGGATCCTGGAAGGTTTCTCTACCAAAGAGAAGAAGATTTATGACAACACTCCAGTTCTATATCCACTCTTGTACTCTTCACAGAATCATAGAATCCTAGAGTTGGAAGAGACCTTGTGGGCCATCCAGTCCAACCCCTTTCTGCCAAGAAGCAGGAATATTGCATTCAAATCACCCCCGACAGATGGCCATCCAGCCTCTGTTTAAAAGCTTCCAAAGAAGGAGCCTCCACCACACTCCCTCCGGGGCAGAGAGTTCCACTGCTGAACAAAGGGTGCTCTTGCCTCCCAAAACTACAACTCCCGGGATTCCACAGCAAGGAGCTATGGCAATTACAGTGGTGCCAAACTGCATTAATTCGACAGTGTGGATGCAAACTTTATATAGGGTCCTGCCTTACCTTCCCGGGCTTTCCGCTCGTGGACCAGCTTCGCCATGGAGGGGGCTTTGTAGAGGAACCCATTGTGGGCAACGGAGGGCAAGACGACCGAGTAGTGCTTCTCCAAACTGGTGCAGACGTCCAGCTGTGGGGTCTCTGCCAAAGTAGAAGGGCAAAAGTCACGTGACAGGATGGCACCGAATCCCAGCCAAACCATAACTGGGTATTCCGTTTTAAAATATGATTTTTATTGAATACATTGTGTATAATTTTTTTATCAATACATAGATACATAGATTGCTTTTCTTGCTTTTCTCTCATCCACCATCCCCAAATCACATACTGCATCTTTGCTGAAGAATTAATGGCACGAGTTTAACTGCCATGGCTGGATACTACAGGATTCTGGGATTTGTAATTTGGTGATGCACCAACACGTTTGGCTAATAAACATGCAAAAATGTATTGTCGAAGGCTTTCATGGCCAGAATCACTGAGTTGTTGTAGGTTTTTTCAAGCTATATGGCCATGTTCTAGAGGCATTCTCTCCTGATGTTTTGCCTGCATCTGTGGCAAGCATCCTCAGAGATAGTGAGGTTACTACCTCTGAGGATGCTTGCCATAGATGCAGGCAAAACGTCAGGAGAGAATGCCTCTAGAACATGGCCATATAGCCCGAAAAAAACCTACAACAACCCAAACATGCAAAACTACAGCTTCCAGGGTTCCATTGCCTTGAGTGGCTTTCAAATAGAGGCTTGATGGCCATATGTCGGGAGTGCTTTGATTGTGCTTTTCTTTCCTGGCAGAAGATTGTCCCAAGCAGTCTCTTCCATTATGATTCTATGAGCCATGGCAGTTAAAATGGTATTGAACTGAATTAATTCTATGGTGCAGATGCATCCAAACATTCTTTTATTTATACCGCAGCCTTCTGACCAAATATTCCAAGTCCTCCTCATCTTCAACTGCAAATTTCTGGAGCATAACAACTACTTTCAACGTAAGGACTATGCTACTCTGCTGCTGAGTCTGTATGCCCGTGCTCTGATCTACAAGAAGCACTGCCTGAACATCAAGCAAAAGTGGGTGCTAGAAACAATATCATACGAAAGCTGACTGGCACAACCTGGGGATCACAACCAGACACAGTGAAGACATCTGCCCTTGTACTATGCTACTCTGCTGCTGAGTATGCATGCCCAGTGTGGAACACATCTCACCACGCTAAAACAGTGGATGTGGCTCTTAATGAGACATGCCACATTCTCACGGGTGTCTGCGCCCTACACCACTGGAGAAATTACACTGCTTAGCCGGTATTGCACCACCTGAAATCCGCTGGGAAGTAGCAGCCAATAGTGAAAGGACCAAGGCAGAGACATCTCCAGCTCATCCCCTGTTTGGGTATCAGCCAGCACATCAACGACTTAAATCAAGAAATAGTTTTCTTAGATCTACAGAGACACTCGCTGGAACACCTCAGCAAGCGAGAGTCCAAAAGTGGCAGGCTCAAACCAAGAACCTCAATCAGTGGCTGAGACCGGATGAGAGACTCCCCCCTGGGCACACAGAAGACTGGGCGACTTGGAAGGCGCTGAACAGACTGCGCTCTGGCACCGCGAGATGCAGAGCCAACCTTCAGAAATGGGGCCACAAAGTGGAATCCACAACATGCGAGTCCGGAGAAGAGCAAACCACTGATCACCAGCTGCAATGCAACCTGAGCCCTGCCACATGCACAATGGAGGACCTTCTTGCGGCAACACCAGAGGCACTCCAAGTGGTCAGATACTGGTGAAAGGACATTTAATCAACTACCAAGCTTGCAAACTTTGTATTTTATCTGTTTGTTAAAAAATGCAACGCAAATATTTGGTCTTCTCGTGACACGATAAATAAATACTTCCGAGTTATAAACTGGCAGATAACCTATAGAATAATAGAATCATAGAATCAAAGAGTTGGAAGAGCCCTCATGGGCCATCCAGTCCAACCCCCTGCCAAGAAGCAGGAATATTGCATTCAAATCACCCCTGACAGATGGCCATCCAGCCCCTGTTTAGATAGAGACTTCTATCATGACACGTGTCCAGTTTCAGTGCCCTGTGATAAGTAGAACTGGGTCAGGGGAAATCTTTAATGAATGCCCTGGGTAGACTGACATTTCGGGATCTTGTCTAGTTTCTTTCCTTGCTGCCTTTCTCCCAAAGAGATCAGATTAAGAAACCTAAGAAATTCCTTAATCTGCTAACTGGATTTTTCCTGATTCTTTTGCAAGTTTCCATCCAAGCCAAACAGCCACCAAGGGAGGAGGAAAGATGCGAACCAGATGTGTCTGCAAAAAACGCCAATGGAGCATCAAAGCTTGGCAGGTTGCAAACTCAGCAAGCAGTGCTGTTTTCGCAGCTTTGTTTTCTTCTTTCGGTTCTTCTCTTAAGAGACGAGGCTTTTTACCGGCCCCTCTTTGCCAGTAATCCATGCCTTTGCGCTTTCCAAAAGGCGTGGGGAGGAATCTGGACCGAAAAACAGGGAGTGGTGGGTGGATCCAGACTGGAATCCATGGGAAGGTCAGCAACGAACTTGGACAACTCACCCCAGATACACTGAGTCCAAATGAATGTACACTATACCACTTTTAACTGCTGGGGTTAGGAGTTATAGTTTGGTTCAAAAAAGGGAAGGCAAAGACCTTACAAAACTATATCTTCCATGGGTTGCTGTCAGTTTTTCAGGTTGTATGGCCATGTTCAAGTAGCTTTCCTGATGTTTTACCTGCATCTGATGTTTCACCTGCATTCCTGATGTTTCACCTGCATCTGTGGATGGTATCCTCAGAGGTTTGTTTAGAGGTCTGTTGAACATGAGGCCAGTGAAGAGTGTGTGTGCGCTGATGACAATGTCATCTGTGCGCATTCAGAAGAAGACCTTGCAAGCTACTCTATACACCTTCGCAGAAGCATATGAGTTGCTGTGAGTTTTTCGGGTTGTATGGCCATGTTCCAGTAGCTTTCCTGATGTTTCACCTGCATCTGTGGATGGCATCCTCAGAGGTTTGTTTAGAGGTCTGTTGAACATGAGGCCAGTGAAGAGTGTGTGTGCACTGATGACAATGTCATCTGTGCGCATTCAGAAGACGACCTTGCAAGCTACTCTATACACCTTCGCAGAAGCATATGAGTTGCTGTCAGTTTTTCAGGTTGTATGGCCATGTTCCAGTAGCCTTCCTGATGTTTCACCTGCATCTGTGGATGGCATCCTCAGAAGTTTGTTTAGAGGTCTGTTGAAAATGAGGCCAGTGAAGAGTGTGTGTGTGCTGATGACAATGTCATCTGTGCGCATTCAGAAGAAGACCTTGCAAGCTACTCTATACACCTTCGCAGAAGCATATGAGTTGCTGTGAGTTTTTCGGGTTGTATGGCCATGTTCCAGTAGCATTCCTGATGTTTCACCTGCATCTGTGGATGGTATCCTCAGAGGTTTGTTTAGAGGTCTGTAGAAAATGAGGCAAGTGAAGAGTGTGTGTGCGCTGACGACAACGTCATCTTTGCACATTCAGAAGAAGATCTTGAAAGCCACTCTAAACGCCTTTCCAAAAGCATACAAGAAGCTCGGCCTGTCATTGAACATTGAGAAAACCAAAGTGGTCTTCCAGCAGTCACCAGCCAATCCCTCTCCAATGCCAGAGATACAGCTGAATGGTCTAACATTAGAAAATGTGGACCATTTCTGCTATCTTGGCAGCCACCTCTCCACCAAAGTCAACATTGACACTGAAATACAACACGCCTGAGCTCTGCGAAGGCAGCATTTTTCCAAATGAAGCAGAGTGTTTGAGGACTGGAACATCCCTAGGGAAACCAAAGTGCTTGTTTAGTAAAGCTATTGTCCTCCCAACTCTGCTATACACCTGCGAAACGTGGACTGTCTACGGACGTCACATGCGACTGCTGGAACGATTCCATCAGCGCTGCCTCCAGAAAATCCTGCAAATCTCTTGGGAACACCAGCGGACAAATGTCAGCATGCTGGAAGGAGCAAAGACCACTAGCATTGAAACTATAGTCCTCCACCATCAACTTCGCTGGACCGGCCACGATGTCTGGATGACCGACCACCGTCTCCCAAAGCAGTTGCTCTACTCCAAAATCAAGAATGGAAAATGGAATGTTGGAGGATTGGAAAAGAGATTGAAAGATGGGCTCAAAGCCAACCTTTAAAACTGTGGCATAGACACTGAGAACTGGGAAGCCCTGGCTCTTGAGCTTTCTAGCTGGAGGTCAGCTGTGACCAGCAGTGCTGTAGAATCTGAAGAGGCATGAATGGAGGATGAAAAGGAGAAATGTGCCAAGAGGAAGGCACGTCAAGCCAACCCCGACCGAGACCGCCTTCCACCTGGAAACCGATGTCCTCATTGCGGGAGAAGATGCAGATCAAGAATTGGGCTCCACAGTCACCTACGGACCCACCGCCAGGACACCGAACTTGGAAGATAATCTTACTTGGACAACGAGGGATCGCCTAAGTAAGTAAGTGTGTATGCATGTGTGCGTGTGCGTATATATAGATCTATATAGATCGGCTCTCTCTTTCGCCCTCCAGTCATGTCTCTTTGAATTCTACAGCACTGCTGGTCACAGCTGACCTCCAGGTGGAATGCTCAAGAGCCAGGGCTTCCCAGTTCTCAGTGTCTATGCCAGAGTTTTTAAAGTTGGCTTTGAGCCTATCTTCACATCTCTTTTCCTCTATCTATCTATCTATCTATCTATCTATCTATCTATCTATCTGTGGAATAATTTTCAGGGTGGGGGAAAGAACCCTTGTCTGTTTGATGTGAATGTTGCAATTAGCAAGCTTGAATAGCACATTGACAAGCTGGAACGTGTCCAGAGGAGGGTGACTAAAATGATCAAGGGTCTGGAGAACAAGCCCTATGAGGAGCGGCTTAAGGAGCTGGGCATGTTTAGCCTGAAGAAGAGAAGGCTGAGAGGATATATGATAGCCATGTATAAATATGTGAGAGGAAACAATTGTTTTCTGCTTCCCTGGAGACTAGGACGCAATGGCTTCAAACTACAAGAGAGGAAATTCCATCTGAACATGAGAGCCGTTCAGCAGTGGAACTCTCTGCCCCGGAGTGTGGTGGAGGCTCCTTCTTTGGAAGCTTTTAAACAGAGGCTGGGTGGCCATCTGTCAGGGGTGATTTGAGTGCAATTGGCAGAATGTGGTTGGACTGGATGATTGCCCAGGAGGTCTCTTCCAACTCTTTGATTCTATGATTCTATGAAGACAATCTTACTTGGACAACAAGGGATCACCTAAGTAAGTAAATAAGTAAGTGTTTGTGTGTGTATGTGTGTGTGTGTATGTCCAGGGTGGGGGAAAGAACCCTTGTCTGTTTGATGTGAATGTTACAATTAGCAAGCTTGAATAGCATTGAGTAGCCATGAAGTTGCAGAGTCAATCAGTATGGGTATTTGCATAGAGGTCGCCTAGCTGTTGTTGCCTGGGAGCATCCTGTGTTTGGGAGGCGTTGACTGGCACTTGGTTGTTTGCTGTCTGGAGTTCTCCTGTTTCTGAGTGGTGTTAATTATTTACTGCCTTGATTCGGGTGTCTTTTAATACTTCTGCCATGCAGGAAAAGCACAATCAAAGGACCACCAACAGATGGCCATCTAGCCTCTGTTTAAAAGCCTCCAAGGAAGGAGTTTTCACTGCACTCTAAGGCAATAATAACAACCATATTTACTCCCTGTTGCTTGCATCTTTGTAATGCTGCATGGCTACATACTGTATGAGAACGACCCTCCGGCCACCTGTTGCTTTCTCCTACAATACCTGTCCATCAGGTTTGCTACAGGTAGCTCCCTTTGCGCCCATGCCTTTTCCCCTCCAGTCGGGCCCCGATCCCTCACCTGCCGCCACTCACCTGAGGTCTTGTTTTGCAGGAGGAACTCCATCTGCAGCCTCTGCCCGGCCGCCTCCGCCAAAGCCATGGGGTTGGGGCAAGTGGGGTCCCCCGAGTAGCAGCCGACTTCGGCCCCGCAGAACAAGAGGGCGAGGGTCTCCGCCAGGTCCGTGGTGGTCACTGCCGCACACAGAGCCTGCGTTTGGGGACAAAGACAATAAATACATACGAGAGGCAGGAATGAAGAGTTGTGTTGTCGAAGGCTTTCGTGGCTGGAATCACTGGGTTGTTGTGAGTTTTCTGGAAGCATTCTCTCCTGACGTTTCACCCACATCTATGGCAGGCATCCTCAGAGGTTGTGAGATCTGCTGGAAACTATGGGCTTTATATATCTGTGGAATAATGTCCAGGGTGGGAGAAAGAACTCTTGTCTATTGGAGGCAATTGGCCGCCTTGATTAGCATTGAATGGCCTTGCAGCTTCAAAGCCTGGCTGCTTCTTGTGTGGGGGAATCCTTTGTTTGGAGAGTTCTTTCCTGAGGTGGGAAAAAGTGGGGTTACGAGCCAAGAAAAAGAGATGGAGAGCTTAGTCTGAGGTTGCCAAAAGGTATGATTAGTAGCCACAGAATGGGATTTGAGTCAATCATGGTCTCCACCATTCACAAGGCCTGCTATTACTACTACTACTACTACTACTACTACTACTACTACTACTATGGAGTCAAGAATGAAAACACAAGAAAAAGAGATGGAGAGCTTAGTCTGAGGTTGCCAAAAGGTCAGATTAGTAGCCACAGAATGGGATTTGAGTCAATCATGGTCTCTACCATTCACAAGACCTACTACTACTACTACTACTACTACTACTATGGAATCAAGAATGAAAACACAAGAAAAAGAGATGGAGAGCTTATTCCGAGGTTGCCAAAAGGTCAGATTAGTAGCCACAGAAGAGGATTTGAGTCAATCATGGTCTCCACCATTCACAGAACCTGCTATTATTATTATAATTACCACCACTACTACTACTACAATTACTACCATGGAATCGAGAATGAAAACACAGAAAAAGAGATGGAGAGCTTATTCCGAGGTTGCCAAAAGGTCAGATTAGTAGCCACAGAATAGGATTTGAGTCAATCATGGTCTCCACCATTCACAGAACCTGCTATTATTATTATAATTACCACCACTACTACTACTACTACAATTACTACCATGGAATCAAGAATGAAAACACAAGAAAAAGAGATGGAGAGCTTATTCTGAGGTTGCCAAAAGGTCAGATTAGTAGCCACAGAAGAGGATTTGAGTCAATCATGGTCTCCACCATTCACAGAACCTGCTATTATTATTATAATTACCACTACTACTACTACTACTACAATTATTACCATGGAATCAAGAATGAAAACACAAGAACAAGATATGGAGAGCTTAGTCTGAGGTTGCCAAAAGGTATGATTAGTAGCCACAGAATGGGATTTGAGTCAATCATGGTCTCCTCCATACATGGGAGCTACTATTATTATTACAATCACCACTACTTCTACTACTATGGAATCAGGAATGAAAAACACAAGGAAAATATATGGAGCACCCAGTTGCCGAAAGATCAGATTAGTAGCCACAGAACAGGATTTCAGTTGATCATGGTCACCACCATTAACAGGACCAGCTACTATTATAATAGTAATTAGATTGATTATTGAATCAGCAATGAAAATGCAAGGAGAAGATATGGAGAGCTCGGCGTGAGGTTGCCAAAAGGTCAGATTCATAGCCACGGAATAGGAACGCAGTCGATCATGGTCTCCGCCATACACAGGACCTGCTATTATAATTACAATTTATTGAATCAGGAATGAAAACACAAGGAAAAGATATGGAGAATTCAGTCCGAGGTTGCCGAAAGGTCAGATTAGTAGCCACAGAATAGGATTTCAGTCCATCATGGAGCTGCTATTATTATTATTATTATTATTATTATTATTATTATTATTATTATTATTAGGAGTGTGTGCTGTATTGCCAAATAATGGATGCAGATCTATTATTATTGTTGTTGTTGTTGTTGTTGTTGTTGTTGTTGTTGTTGTTATTTGCAACACAACAGGATGAGTCCACAGCAGACACTCTGCTGGCTGTTGAATTGGATCACACGTCGGACACTTCCCAAGTGTCTAGGACTGTGTGATGTATCGGTGAATAATGTATGCAGATCCCAGTAAGGTGGCCTTCTGCAGCTGGCAGGTGGTGATTTTGTCAGCGCCAATTGTGTTTAAGTGCAGGCCAAGGTCTTGAGGCACTGCACCCAGTGTGCCAATCACCACTGGGACCACCTTGATTGCCTTGTGTCAGAGTCTTTGCAGTTCGATTTTTAAATCCTCATATCGTGTCAGCTTTTCCAGTTGATTCTCTGCAATCCTGCTGTCGCCTGGCATTGCAACATCGACGATCAGAGAAGTCAGCCATAGCAGATCACCAGAGGAACCAACCTGGACACAGCATTTTATTTGAGAACACAGAAATGCTGGACCACTCTCACAACCACCATGCCAGGCTACACAGAGAAGCCATTGAAACCCACAAGAAGCATGTGGACAATTTCAACAGAACGGAGGAAACCATGAAAACGAACAAAATCTGGCTACCAGTATTAAAAAAACTCTATAATTACAACAGCACAACAACAGAGAGGAAACAAACAAGGACATCTAATCACCTCTCAACAAAAGTTTGCTCCAGGCACTGCCAGGCCATTATATGCTAATCAAGGTGGTCAGTTGAAATATTCACACCTACCTCCAACAGACAAGAGTCCTTTGTCCCACCCTGGTCATTCCACAGATATATAAATCCCTTTTTCCTAGTTCCAACAGACCTCACTACCTCTGAGGATGCTTGCCATAGATGGAGGCGAAACGTCAGGAGAGAATGCCTCTAGACCATGGCCATATAGCCCGAAAAAAACCTACAACAACCCAGATCCATACTTTGTTTTTTAACACGATCGTGAGGTCAGGAGTATTATGTTCCAAAACTCTGTCTGTCTGAATCCAGAAGTCCCAGAGGAGTTTGATGTGTTCATTTTCTGAACTTTTTCCGGCTTGTGATCCCACCAGTTTTTTGTCGCAGGCAGATGGTGTTTGTGGTACAAGTTCCAATGAATCATCTGAGCAAAGGTGTTGTGCCTCTGCTTGGAGTCTGTCCGTGTGATCTTCTTGCAACAGCTGAGGATGGGATCTATTGTTTCATCTGCTTCCTTGCAGAGACTACACTTGAGATCTGTTGTCGACATTTCAATTCTGGCTTTGATGGCATTGGTTCAATTATTATTATTATTATTATTATTATTATTATTATTATTATTGTCGTGTCAGGAGCAACTTGAGAAAGTGCAAGTCGCTTCTGGTGTGAGACAATTGGCTGTCTGCAAGGACGTTGCCCAAGGGATGCCCAGATGATTTGATGTTTTTATCATCCTTGTGGGAGGCTTCTCTCATGTCCCTGCATGAGGAGCTGGAGCTGATAGAGGGAGCTCATCCGCCTGTCCCCAGATTTGAACCTGCAACCTGTCAGTCTTCAGTCCTACCGGCACAGGGGTTTGACCCACTGCGCCACCGGGGGCTCCGCACTATTATTATTATTATTATTATTATTATTATTATTATTGAATCAGGTATGAAAATACAAGGAAACAACTTGGATAGCCCAGTCCTGAGGTTGCCAAAAAGTGGGATTAGTAGCCAAGGTGGGCTCAAAATACAGTTTCAATTGATCATGGTCTTCACTCCACACAAGAGCTGATTATTATTGTTGTTGTTGTTATCCTGCTTTTATATCTCAACCCAGATGCAAGGCAGCACACAACATTCAACAATGCCATTTAGAACCCACTAAATGTACAAATGTTAAAACATAATTCGACAAACCAGTCAGTTACAAATCCCTTAACAGTACTTAAAAGCCGTCAAAATAAGTCAAATATCACCCAGCGCCTCTGTGGTTCGTTCCTAAAAACATTCCTCTTTAAATGAAATGGAGCGTTAATCAATACTAAAGATTAAATTAAATTAAATTAAATTAAATTAAATTAAATAAGTAAGTAAGTAAGTAAGTAAGGAAGGAAGGAAGGAAGGAAAGAAGGAAAGAAAGAAAGAAGGAAGGAAAGAAAGAAAGAAAGAAGGAAGGAAAGAAGGAAAGAAGGAAAGAAGGAAAGAAAGAAAGGAAGGAAGGAAGGAAGGAAGGAAGGAAGGAAGGAAGGAAGGAAGGAAGGAAGGAAGGAAGGAAGGAAGGAAGGAAGGAAGGAAGGAAAGAAGGAAGGAAGGAAGGAAGGAAAGAAGGAAGGAAGGAAGGAAGGAAGGAAGGAAGGAAGGAAGGAAAGAAGGAAGGAAGGAAGGAAGGAAGGAAGGAAGGAAGGAAGGAAGGAAGGAAGGAAAGAAGGAAAGAAGGAAAGAAGGAAAGAAGGAAAGAAAAGATTTGGACAGCACGCTCTCTCTTAAAGTTTCCAAAAGGTGGGATTAGTAGCCAAACCGAACATCTTATGATTTCAGTCTCTTTGGAGAAAAGAGGACAAAACAATAGAGAGTTGTCAATGCTAAGAAGGAAAATAGAACTCAAAAGTAAAATACATACAATCAAAGGAAAAGATAAATGGGAATCGTAACCAAGATGGGCTTCTTGGGCTTGGACTCCGCACTGACCCCAGAAAGCTGTCCAAAGGAGCTCCGAATGGATGGATAGATGGACGGACGGACGGACGTAAGGCTGGGATGGTCTCTTTATATGCAATTCAGTGGAATGGCAAAGCCTTCCCAACTGGGCTGGTCAGCGGCCAGAATGGCCGGAAGGGTGGGGAGGAGATTCCCAGCAAATAGCAAAAACAAAAAAGCAGAAAGAAGAGAGAAAGGGGACGAAAGGGGAGAGGCTCTGCAACCCAGTGCAGCCAAGTCTGATCTCTTGTGTGTAAACACACACATACACACACACACACACACACACACAAAGGGGAGGAATGCATGAGTCTCCTTTCTTCTAGGCTTTGCAAAAATTAAACAAATGCAAACTTTTTTGGATGGCCATTTCCAAAATTCCTCCCCCCTCCAGCCACCCAACATAGGGGATGATGGAATATGATTCTTTGTTTATAGAATCATGGAATCCTTGGGTTGGAAGAGACCTCTAAAGGTCATCC